CGTCTATGAGTTTATTTGGATTTTTTCAATTCTTACCTATGTTCACTCGTTGATGAACGTATGGTCTATTGAAAAAAAAATATAGAAGTGATGCAGAGTATGCTCAAAATGAGAAGCCTTCTGGATATATTCCATTTATAATAATGATTGGATATATTATTTGTTCACACTGGACAAAGAACACATTCGCACACGTCTTATTGTGTCGGCGCAAGATTTTTGCTGTAAGTAAACTTGAAAAACAACCCAAAACAACTCAATTTGATAGAAGTCCCGGGAAGTCTGCAACGTGGTTTCTACCTTGTTGTATATCAACGTGTTGTAAAACCGTTTTTTTTAAAAAGACAGTTTTTAATTTTATTTATTTCAGATACTAGTAATTGATTGATTGGTTTAGTATTTTAATTTTATTGCACGTTTAAAAGCAAATTCACAATTATTTGTTTCAATTTAAATTGCAATAAATAATTTGAAGAATTGACAATTTTCCAATTCTCTCAAACGAGATTCAAATTTTGGTCGATTGCCATAAATACATTTGCATAAAGTGTAAAAAGAACAACGCGTACATTGACAACACGCTTAGCAACAACAATTAAAAAGTGAAAATTATTCATTTCAAACAAAATCATTATGCAGAGCACCAAAATATTAGTTGAATTTTTTCTAAATTTAGAATAGTATCATTACAGATGCAGAATAATCATTTTGTGAGAAATATGATTAGATTTTTTGAATATTTGCAACATTTAAAAATGTCAAGATTCAATAAAATACTTCACACTTCAAAAAAGCTAAATATGCCCAATTTGTATCGGTGAGTGGGAAGAGAAAGCAAAATGAAAACGCCATAAAATTTTACCATCCAAAGACTCGATCAGCGCATTCACTCAACTCATCATCAGTTGATAGAATTGATTAATACTTAAATAAACGCCGAAATATATTCGATAATCTTGTGATTTTGTGCACATGATTTATTCATTTTGCACTTCCACTTTATTCGGAGAATTTTTTTTTATTTCGGCACAATACATCCAAAACAGATTCAAGCCAACAGTATTTAAATTTTGGGATAAGTTTAACAATAGCCTCGAAAAGAAAATTTATATAAATAACACGATCTAGTAAACAACAATTTTTTTTCCCATTTCGAGATGTTCCATTCAATGAATTTTTTTTTAAAGATTGAACGTTCAGTAAATGTGTCAATCACATCGTAAGCTAGTTTTCGTTTTGAGTTTTCGTATTTCGATAGATTTTTAAATTTTTTCTTAACTTTATTTATCAACGAAGCTTCAAAATTTCCATTTCTTTCCAACATTTCTTCGAAATCATCTAAATCTTTGATGATAGTAATTTTTCTGAGTGCCGGTAAATTGCCCAATTCGTTGTCGCATTTCGATACAATTTGTGCTCATCTTTTTGAACCAATGAAATTAAAAAATCCAGTTTGGCTTCGATACGATCAATTCTATCTTCCAAACTAATTTCTTTGACCTCTGGTTCTTCGATTTGCTCAACAATGATTTGCTCCTCAGCTATTGTTGGCTTGTCGCATTCATCTACTTCAATAATTGAAGTTCAATTGTAGACGATACACAGTCTTCGGAAATGAGATCGGCCAAATACTCAGTGATAATGGTATAAAAAAGAAATAAAACTGCACTTCTGACACTGATTGATTGTACTGTCTTCAAGTGCAAAAATCCATTGCATTGTAGGCCGATCAACTGTTTTGAATCCGAAATTGCCGAATGAGCAATTAATATCGTTCACGCAGACAGACCGAGTTGATTTTTGCACTTGAAGACAGTACAATCAATCAGTTTGATTTCAATCATGATTTGCAGCCCAAGCACAATTCACCAAAAATGAGTAATCAAATTGGTTTGTTGTTGTTGTTTTTTTGTTTATTGCTACCATTATTCGAAACAGAATCATTTTTTTTTTTCGTTTATATGGATGGATTTAAGAATTTCGTATGAATAGACATGGAGACTAAACATACGGAGAAAAATTATTCGTACGATCCGTACGTTTAGTCTCTATATCTATTCGTACGAAATTCTGAAATTCACCGTACGAATAGCCTGTGAGGCTAAACGTAAATTTTGTAGGATTTTTATCGTACAAATAGACCGTGCCCATGGATTCCATATGAAATGAAGTCGCATATATATATTAATGTCACAACTCGTCTAAACAACAAAATATGACAAAGTTTGACATAAAATCCGTTAAAAGTATACTTTGTGTTTAAATAATTATAGCTATTCATTAAAATACAAAGTCATTGTTGAGAGGTTCCGGAATTAGAACGTCATCGATTGGAACAAACACTTCTTCCAATGAAATGTCATTGGATTCGCTTGTTGAAGTTTTATCGCTTCCAGAGGGCTCAATAGAATGGATATAGTTGATGGCAGATGAACCTTAATTTTTCCAACAAACATTAAAATTGAATCAATTGTGAACCAATATTTGACCAATCTTTTGCAGCAGCAACGAATGAGGGGCACATGTCTTGAAACTCAGTCAGTTTTGGTTGTTTACCTACACCCGTTTGTTTTGCTTTGTCATTTGCGGCCTAGAAATATCAATTTAAATATTTATATGGCTTGCAACAGTTTGGATCGAATGGAATAATTCACGGTTGCTCGACGAATCCAGTTGGTGACATTTTGTTTGAGTTTAGAAACGTTTTCAACTTCGATTTGTTCGTTTTCTCTCAATTTATCAGCGATATCTTTCCATGCTTCACCCTGAGTCTTTCGATTGACTTCATTTGTGAATTTTTCATAGAGATGGTCAGCATTTTTCAAACAATACTCCAAAATGGTTTTCTTACAAAAAAAAAATGTTTAACGTTAGATTTATAAACAAATTTTGATATAATCTATCCAACCTTTTGCTTTTCGCTAAAGCCACTTTTTTGGTTCGACATCGTATTTTTCTTTTTTCTTCAGTGACAGAGCCCACTATGAAATTGGAAAATGATGTTCACTTTACTTTTTATATCACGTAAATAAGTGCAAGTCACATCTCCTTGAAAGTTAAATTGTAAGTTTGCCATCTCTGTTGCCAGAATTTTCTTCAAATTTTATTTTCATGACATAATTTGACTTAATTGCCGTAGCTGTTTTCATTTTTAAAAAAGTCAATCATACATTGGTTGAAATTTTCCACTGGGAATATGAAATTGCAATTTATTATATTTTATAGTTCGAATCAAATAATTTTTCTGTATTATCATGTTTTTAGTTTTTCCTGGAGAATGTGTTATGAAAAGTGAATTTACAATTTTTATTGAATGGAACATTATAATGGTATTGATTTTTAGAATTATAATGTTTATTTCTATCGCAAAAAATATTCTATCAATTCTCTTTGGCGTATAGCACCGTCCCCACCAATTGCATGCAATGGATCTGCATCTTCATCTATGACTTCTTCGTTCCTGTCATCAAAATCGGCTTGAGCAATACGATTTAGCTCCGGATCATAGTCATAAATTCCATTTTTATAATAATTTTGCATATTGTGTAGGGTCACACATGCATATATTGCTAAACTGATACGCCTTGGGTTGGTAAACCTAAAACCATATCGAAAACAGTAAAATTGATGCTTTAGAATTCCTATAGCGCATTCAATTTTAAATCGTGTCTTTCGATGCCGTTGTAAAAAAAATTCGATTGCATTTTCCAAGTGCGGTAGTCGATTAGAAACTCGAATGGTCGCTGTAATAAGCCAGCTCCTCAATGGAAAGGCTGAATCTCCAAAAATGATGGACCTATCATCACCGGCCCTCCATTGGTTCAGCTCTCAACTATTCCATAACGAAGAGACTTGCAAACAACGGCTATCATGAAAGCTGCCGGGACATTTAGCAGATGCATAGAACAATTCGTGTTGAGGTCCAGTGCCGGTATTCTACGACTTTCCGACAAAATCGTTCGGAATTATTTTTTTCGTACATAAGACCATATTGGAGTGAAAGAGAGAGATTCCACTATTTTTCAGCGGTCCACCGGAATTATTTCTCACACATTTCACTCTTCCTTGAATTATCGGAATAATTCCGGTGGACCGCTGAAAAATAGTGGAATCTCTCTCTTTCACTCCAATATGGTCTTATGTACGAAAAAAAATAATTCCGAACGATTTTGTCGGAAGGTCGTAGAATACCGGCACAGATAGTGTTGGCCGTCGAATACTTTCGAACGCTTGTTCGTTCGTTCGACATGGTTTTAAAAAAAGTTTTTGTTTGTTCGTTCGTTCGACATTCATTTTGTTCGATGTTCGGTCCGAACAAAATTTTTTTACATCAGAAAATTCGATGTATTGATCAAATTTATAATATAATCGTTGCAGCTCATGCTTTTATTAGCTTTTATTATAATTTTTCATAGTAATAGCAATTTTATTCGGGAGATTTCGAAATAAAAAAAACTTTGTTCGGACCGAACATCGAACAAAATGAATGTCGAACGAACGAACGAACAAAAAAATATTTTTTCAAATTGTCGAACGAACGAACGAACAAAAAATATTTTTTTTAAATTGTCGAACGAACGAACGAACAAAATTTTTTTTTTTTTTTAATTGTCGAACGAACGAACGAACGTTCGAAGCCATCACTAGGTCCAGATACTAGCAACAAATTGATAGCATGTTTATTAGTTCGACTCACATAAACCGGTTCATCTAGGTGCATTTATGCTGATGAGAGTTCCGTCAATAAGACCCTTCACATATGGAAACCCAGCAATTCTCGCAAATTTTTCAGCAATGCTATTAGTGTTATTGCTTGGCCAACGCACGTATAAAGGCATCACGTAACGTCTAATCAATGCACAGACAGTGCGTATGCATTGACAAACTGCGCATGGGCGAATGAGACATAAAATGCATTTTTCTCAAATTTTCAAATTTATTTGGTTCTTTTGTTGAACATCAAATGACAGGTACAAAAAAAGAGACGGTATTCAGCTTTTTTAGGCGCCTGAAACCCCTTTTTTCAAGCTTATATTCTTCTTCTTTGATTACGTCCTACCCTTGGCTTCCGGATCCAATCGAGCAACGGTGCAATCGGTTGAAAAATAACCGGTTCATCAGGAAAACGATCTATGGTCATGCCCACGAGTTTGTTATTCTTTTTCGAAACCATTGGTCCTCCAAACGCACAGGGAGTTCCCATGCTTTCATCTAAAGTGTAACACATCAAAAGATTTGCATCAAATCGGTCGCCCAATTCCGATTTGCAAATGGCGCCATCTAAATACTTTGTATCAAAACGTCTCGTTCTCGCCGTTCTATCCAATATCATATCACCATAGACAGAGACTATTTCAGACGGGTCATTCAATTTGTAATCTTTGTCCACCAAATCGATGCTGCCGACGTTGTCATTGAACTCCAACCGTTCTTTAAGTGTAATCTTGGCAACGTCAAATGCGAATCCAGGAAATGAGTATTTCTCATGAATTTCTATCTGGTCTTCAGTGACTTTGATTTTTGTCGGATTGCGTGATAGTTTATTCACTATTATATAGACATATGGGGCGCCGTGCACATTATGTGCACAGGTCAAAATCTCGGTTTCCGACAAAATGATTGCATTAGAGCGTATTCGAACATGTTCTTCGGTATTGGCAAATGCTTCCTTGGTAGCGGTAAGAAATTCTGTAATAGAAAAATATCTCAGGATGAGTATTTATGTTTATGAGCCATGAAAAAAAAATGAAGATTAAAAGTGACGTTAGAAACCAGATAATAAATTGATTTAATTCAAATTTTGAAAGCACAAGGACACTTACTCCCCGGTACCGATATATCGGCTAAGAATTTAGCTTCGTTAGGTGTAAGCGAAGGTGGAAGTGGTTTTACGCTCTGAAATAAAAGCAAAAATATATTTTGTTCGCGTTATTGAAATGCAAATTGGGGCATTGAGATTAGATACCTTTGGATCATGGATAAAACCAAGGAATGACGTAATTGGGAGGAACATTCCGCGGTCAACTGTTGCTCCATTTATACCCACAGCTATGCCCACGATTTTGCCATTTGTTTTTGAAACGACTGGTCCACCCGAATCGCCAGGTGTAATAATTTTGCCATCGTTCGTAGCCTCGCCAGTGGTAAAGTACAATGTTTGACGTGGGTTAAATGCGCCGACACGATCGACATCAGATATATAGTTCGCATCGCAACGCCTCAATATCATTGGTTCGATGTTGTTCAACACGCCATATCCATAGGCAGTGACCACTTCTGATGGGTCATTCAATTTGTAATCCTTGTCCACGAGTTTGATACTGCCAACGGTATCGCTGAATTCTAACGGCGTTTTCAGTGTAACTTTGGCAATGTCAAATGCACCAACAATTAAATGACTATAATAAGGGTGATATGCAATGTGCTCTTTTTCGACTTTGATTAGGTTTTTTTCCAATGCAGCTTTCGTACCAACCACCACATAAATATATGGGGCGCCAGCCACACAATGAGCATTCGTGATAATTTCCGTTTTTGACAGAATAAATGCGGTACATGTAGACAGCATTTCTCTATCAGCATCAGCTAAATTGTCTTTGAATGCATACAAATATTCTGTAATGAAATCGTTTCGTCTCAGTACAAGCAAAAATTAACACACACAAAATTGATAGAATATTTGAATAGAAAATTCACACGAAAAAAAGAATAAAAATGATTCTAAAGCTGACTTACTTGTAGGGGCATAGATTCCAGCTACAAACTTTGCCTGTGACATGTTTTCAATTACTTCGCCCTTGAGAAGAGCTTGCGAGAAAAAGCCATCTGTTCATTAGAAAAAAAAGTTGAAATTTTAAAATGAAAAATCTCTTGAAATCATAAAAAGCGTGTACGAAAACAAAATTTGTCATACGATTTCCTTGAAGTTCCTAAAAAAAGAAATTTCATGTTCACTTTCAATTCTACAGAAACATCGCATTTTGTTAGATAAAAATGAAAATGATAAAGGAATAGAAAAAACTTACCGAAAATTCAACGATAAATAGCACCAAAAACAAACCGTGTAGTAGATTCATTTCAATTTGCCAACGAAGCAGAGTTTTAACCTGTTGCACAATGATAATTTGAGAAGAGATACTTTGAATTCGTTTGGTCTCCCCTATGCGGTGGCGCCTCTTTTATACCATTCATCTACCAATAGCTGACACGTGCACGGCAACGTATAATTCAGTTATGGAATTATTATTTTTTTAAAATTGTGGTATTTTTCAGTTATGGAATTTACGAATTGAGGTATACGAACACTATGCAGAAAATTTCAAAAAAAAATTTCCCCCAAAAAAGAGGAGACTCATTTCCAAGTTTTTTTTGGCCCACTTAATCCAAATCTGATACGGAAACCGCAATGAACGTATCTTAAAAACTAGATGTGCCAGGACAAACTAACGCCAGATTTGGATTAAAATTTTCCCTTCTCTGTAGTTGTTTCTTGTTGTTGCATAGTGTAATCATATTCAGACACTAAATGAAGCTCAATAACAAAATTCTTTTGATGGACACGTGTAGCTGATACAATTTGTGTAAATTGTTAGCAAAAAATGGAATACGTTCGAAAACAATTTAAATTTCTTTTGTTCTCCAGCCTGATGATGTTCCTAAAAAGAGCGAAACGTCGCATGATAAACGAATAACCATTTTCGAAGATGGCTTTAGCCCAACACATCACTTTTGTATTTATACAGTTGGAATGAAAAAACCGCTGCGCGTGTACACCAAAGGAATTTACATGAATTCCGTTCGATTGAGAGTGAATCGCAAAATATCTGTTGACTTTAGAAATCGTGTTTCACTTTAATTGAAGCAAAAATGTACGATACACTTCCAAGCCCATTGGAATGATGACTAATCTTAATGGTGGTTATGGTTGTGACTTGATTTCGTAGTGAAAATCAAGTAGTAAGGAGCGCGAATTTCGATGTGCCGATAATACCAACGGTGCACACAAAATACACCATTAGAATCTAAAAAAAAATTTTAACTTTTTTTCGATTTTTGCCTGTTTTGGATCGTCTACATGGGAAGTATGAAAACCTCGGAGCGCCGGTTGGAATGGTTTATATGATAAAGTTTAAATATGGTTAAAACTCCGATTTCCGAGTGGAATTCGGCAAAAATAATGTCTACGTACATTGCTCCCAAACCCTCATGAATGAATAGTGGATGGCATGAGTTTTGCTACACCGTAGACAGATTCTTTCGTCATTTTCGTAAATTCTTGTTTCGTAAATCTTTGCTTTGATTCAGTTACTATATTCACTCAATCGTCTGGTGCAAACAAGTTCTATTTCGATTTACACATTCTATCAATAGCAGCAAAGCAGTCATTACAAGCATTAGAATCGTGTCCGCGGATAAAAAATCTCTGCTTAATGGTTTCTAGAGATGATGATTTGAGATAATCAAACAGTTTCGCCAACATCAAAGACAGTTTTATGTTTCGATTCAATGGACATGCTTTGCTAAACAGAATCAATTTCTTCGTGCTCTTTGGAACGACTTTCGATATGTTCTGGAAGAGGCAAGATGCCATCTGTTCTGGTCCTCTCTTTGCAATCGATTCATTCCAAAAATACATATACGGTTTGGAGCGTACCTCGACATAAACACAAAGATTTGAACACCAAAGCTGGCTCCATTCATATGATCCGTCGATGGTCTTGAAGGGCATTTCTAGCACATGTTGCAGTTCAAATGTGATGACTTCTACTTCAGTCGTTGGTTCAATCAATTCCAAGAAATTGTGTTTAAATACTCTGACAATCGCGAAATGTTTATCTTGTGCAACTTGAATTTCATTTTTTCTCTCTTCACTTAGAATCTTCGGTTTCAATTGCATCTTAAATTTATCGCATGGTAACACAACGTATTTTATCATCAAACGGTCTCAAATGTCCAAAATTCATTTTTAGCGTTCGCTCGAAAACACTTTTTGATAAAACTTTTTTATTTTGGAATGCGCGAATTTATCCTTATACAGGGCACAGTACTGTTACAATTTTTGTAAATTGTAATTGTAATTGTAAATACAATTCGTTGTAAAATTGTGCTTACAATTTTACAATAATTGTAAAATTGTTTTTTAATAATGAATGTGACAGTCAAAAAGAAAAAGCGATCGATATCAAAATCATATTCACAATTTATAGGTTTTGTATTTATTTTGACTAAAAATTATTTTATTTCCAACCGCTTCTAAACTTCCATGTCATCGGCAAACTCAGATTAAGGACTTACAACTAACGATTTGTCACAAACACAAAAATCAATCTCATCAATCGAACCATTTAATTTTTCCAAATATGAATTATTATGCTAAAAAGTCTTTTAGACTGGAAGTCATTCATTGAAATTGTCAATGAAACAAAACAACACATCTGAATACATCTGAAACATAAATTGGTTTAAATATTGAGTATTTAACTTAAATACGCAGACTGTGTAGTACAAGTTTAGAATTATTGTAGAATTGTAAATACAATTTTACAACGAATTGTATTTACAATTACAATTACAATTTACAAAAATTGTAACAGTACTGTGCAACAGGCCCCAGTTTGTAGATAGTGTTCATTTTCAAAACGGGGTGAAAATATTTTATACCGATCGGTTTTAGTTCGATGGATGACTCATAGTATGGAAATGATTTCACTAACTCTTCCAAATAAGCAATACCTTGTGGATCTGTCTTTCTTGATGGAAATTTTCCTCTACGATCTTCGGCTGTTGGATTGTTCTGTGCTGATTTTACAGCCCAAAATATTTTGGTCCTGTTGACTTGAAGCATTTTTGACACAAAAGAGGAACATACTCTCTGTTTCTTTCCGTTCTCATCAACCAAATAGAAGGATGAAAAATAATCTTTTTTCTTAATTGCTTGACGAGGATCAAGATTTTCCTTCGACGCATCTCGTACCACGATCGATCTTAAAAATAAAGTTTTTTTTTTCAATGAAACCTTTATTCCGTATATTCCAATTGCATGTTAATATTATTCATTAGATGATCTTGGTGACAGTCGATGCCAAGGAACAGTTTATGTTATTTCTTTTCATTTATCACTCTTCGGCAAAAAACTGATGTGACTGTGAGTAGAAAATCACAATTTCATTTCAAACATCATTATCACAAATAAGTTTTGAAAATTCTATAAAAAAAAAATCAGTGTTATGAATATCGATTATATTCCCCACATTTTTTTATTGTTGTGCATGTTGACTTTTATTTTTATTTTGTTATTTTTGATTTTTTACTGTGTTAAAAATAACAGTTGTATACACTAGGGGAATTTAACTCTTACGAGTTCAGCATGTTTTTTGCCAGTTTGCTTGATTCGCGGGAGTTCGACGCGTTCCTTGTACGTACTGACGCGCACGGTCACAAGTTTACACAAGTTTGTTTATGGTTTTGCGCGTTTTTCAAGTTGTTATTTGACAATTAAAACGCGTTTCAAGCTAAAAATCGGTTGTTTACGTGTATAAAGATTTTTCACATCCTTTCCAAAAGTTCAAAGATTTATATAATTATAAAATGGACAAAGGAAATATTTTTAAAGAGCTGGAGAAAGTGTTGAAGAAAAAGTTAATCCAGATATAATAAATGGAACGACTGATGTGTGCGCGTCGTCCAGCTACAAGTTTGCACACGAACTCGCGCGCGTTCGCGCATGTTGTTTTTATACGGAACTTGTCAACTGAGTGGAATCATGCAAGTTCTCTGGTGAATGTAACAATTTCGTGCGCGTTTATATCATTTTTTTACAAGTTTTCACGTAGTTAAATCTCCCTAGTGTATACATTCATAACAATTTTTAAATTTCAAAACATGAACTTTTCATTAAATTTGACGTTGGAAAATTGTTGATTCAAAATTTGATGAAAAGTTCACACATTTTTTGAAAAGTTCGATATGAATTGTTCAAAGTGAACAATTCATCCCAATATCCGAACAGAATCACATTATAATTACATTGCAGTTTTTCAAACATGCTGAATTGAACTTTTCAGCATTGAAAAGTTCAATATTTTCGAAAAACAGGCCCCTGGTCAGCCGGTCGCCATTATCATTGCCACAAAAATGGAATGTATTTTGAAAGCTTCCAAAGACGGTGTTGTTAAGAGTGTTAGTGATGAGCTAGGCCAAAATATGACTAAAGGTAAAGTCATTGTTGCATTTGAAGCAGATGTTCAAGAACTGAATTGATCGTGTCATTTTTATAAGCCTTTGTTCTGCATTTGCATATTTTCCCATGGGCAAATATTTTTCGTTTGGCCTATTTCGAAGGAAGAATACAACTCTCTAGGGACAGAAAAACAAAACTAAATTTCAAAGCGAATACGAGCATAAATTCAATGCTCAAAAAGATGTTAATCAACAGTATTTTATTATGATATAAAAAATAAATGATTTTCAATCATTTTCTCTTCTCTAAAATAGTATTCTCTTGCACTTTGAACAGAGTTTTAAAAACAGGGATTTCTCTTTTGATCAATATAGATATTGTCTAATGTGCTACAAAAAAAAATAAGTGCTAAGTAAAACCTAATAGCTGAATGGACGAGATTTCAAAACCAGAAGAAGGAAACGACTCTTCAAATGCCGCGCCATGAATATTGTTGCGAACGCTTATGAATATTTTAATAGAGTATTCGTGCGGTTGTCATGGTATTTGGTGAGTCGCTTCTTCCATAGGTAGAACATTTGTATAATTTATTTCAATCAAATTCATAACAAATTGTTCAACAAAAAGCGGCCTCGATAAAATCACTGCCTGAGGCAATGCAGTCGGATGCAACGACAATCTTCGAACCGGTCATTTTTTCAACGAAGTTAATTGCAGCCAGTTCCGCATATGTGATGCCGCCGATAACAAAGCAGAAAATCGTTCTTGGCTTGAGTGGGAAAAAGTCTCGGATTTCACCCTTCTTCACGCCAGCCACTATCCCTGGAATGCTGAGCTTAGATTGCTGAAAACAGCGATGGAATATGATTTGTTCGGTGTGGCCAAATTTATCGGCAAAATCAAAAACTGATGATGCGCTGCACAATAAATTTGCCAATTGTGCGATCAATGGAATATACGATCCATTGAACACATAGGATGCATCGACCGGATCACGACGATCCGTTGAATTAGCATCGGTTGCTTGATCAACACTTGCATTGGTTGGCAACAGTTTCATGCGATTTGCCTCGATTTGGAATGCATTTTGCCATTTAAGCGAAATATTGTTGAGTATTTTGGTTTTCGCTAAATTCGGAAGATCTGGAAATAGTTTGGCGGTGGCCAAATGCGAAAATATTGGTAAATGTTGATAACCAAACGCATTTAAATAGTTTGTCATGAATGTGGAAGCTTCGTCTGCATTTAGCCCGCACGTCAAATGCAAAAGACAAATGTATCGTAGCGAATTGTATCGATGCGCATCGGTGGTGAGCAGTTCTAGGATTTTTTGAAATGTTTGTTTTTTATTCCGATTGTAGAGCATCGATTCTTCCATTGTTTGCAATTGCTCGAAATTGCCGCCAAGTTCATTGACAATATTTTCACATAATATCAAATGCTTAAAGAGTTCTTTCTTTTGTGACGTGACTTTCGGTAATATTTTCATCACAAACTCATTCATCTCACCAATTTCCATGCCTTGAATATTCCGACCTTCCATTCCCAGCGCCTTTGCCTGTGAACTGAGCAAACTAATTGCATCGCTAAAGTGTTTGTATCGATTTTCATGGTAAATACCATCAACGGAGTCCATCAAGCGAAGATTTGTAACCGCTTCTTTTTCATTTGTCGTTTCGTTTTTCGATTTACTTTTCAAAAAGTGCAATCTTTCACTTTGGATACGATTTTTGTGTTCGTCAATTTGTAGTGTGCCCGCAACGGAGCGAAATATTTCGAGCAAAAGGCCTGAATAGACGACTGGCGTCAACAGAGCCGAAGCGTAATCTTTATTCCGGTCCATTATGATCATGGTAGTAAAATCGGATTTCTCTTCGGGTGGTGCGTTCCGAAATCCTTCAATTTGATCGATCATATTGGCCACTTTGGCAGCATTTTCCCCGTAAGTTATCAACAACGATGGACGACGACACACCATGTTAAAAATGCGTAAACTGTGCGCTATTGATGGCAGTAAACTTGTATCCTCGCGAATGAACACTTCTTGAAACAGTTGTGGAATTTCGAGGCTCAATGCACCGCTGTCGATTGTAATGAAATCCCAATTGAATCGATGCATTTCCACATAACCGAAAAGACCTTCTTCTTCGAGCACCACTTCGAAACTATGCAGTACTGTTGGCAACACTATCACATGAAATGGCTTTGTTCCCATGTCCGATAATTGCTTTTCCGTCTGCTGATGACCATTTATTGCGTGGATTTGATCCAAAATATATTTAAACGTTATCAAACTGGATGAAATGAAGTAAACAATCGTTGATTTTCGCTGCGGTGGATTCTTCGAATCAAACTTATATATCTTATTAACTCCATTTGCGCTGAAAAATTCAAACGACAAATTAGTTTTACCATTCATATCACGGGTAAATCTTCAAGAAAAACGAACCGTAACCAAGATGCTCCACAAATGTGTTCCAATGGCTTAATAAGGCACGTTTCGATAACTATATCTTTTTGACTGTCCGGAATTGAACACAAAATATTCTGCAGCTTCTCTTGGGCAATTTGCCGGAATCCCTGCAGTTTCTTGTCTAACGTAAAATCCATTTTATGTGGTAAAATAAAAACAAAACTAGACTTTATGACAATTTAAAATGAAGAAAAAATAAAAGAATTTCATCGCTTAATTGTTTACGTTTTCCAATTAAATCGGTCATGACATTTAATGACAGTGACGTTGCAATGAACTGGGGAAAACTGTTATACACTGAAATGTCAAACTAGTTGACAATACAAGGCACGTTGTTTTCGCTGTAAATCGACATTTGGAGAGGAAAAAAAACATTTACCAATCGTTTCTTTTTAAATTCCGTCGAAATGGGCAAAACTTCGAAAGATAAACGTGATATTTACTATCGACAAGCCAAAGAGGAGGGCTATCGAGCTCGGAGCGCTTTCAAGCTATTACAAATCGACCAAATATTTCACATTCTTGATGGTAAGTGGCTATATCTGATATGTTTAAATTCGTTCTTAATGAATCAATTCCAAATTTCAGGTGTCAACCGTGTCGTTGATCTGTGCGCGGCACCTGGTAGTTGGAGCCAAGTGCTATCAAAAAGATTGTACGAGAACAGCCCGAATAAAGACGATGTAAAAATTGTGGCAGTTGACTTGCAGGCGATGGCTCCATTACCAGGTGTCAAACAGCTTCAGGGCGACATCACCAAACTTAGTACCGCCGAAGAAATCATCGCATATTTTGACGATAAAAAAGCTCAGTTGGTTGTATGTGATGGAGCACCAGATGGTAATTTATTCACATCGAACCTTTTCAATCTAATGCATAGGACAAATGTATAGCTTTTAATTAAAACTTTACTCTTCTTTAGTCACCGGTCTGCATGATATTGACGAGTACATTCAATCACAACTTTTGCTCGCAGCTTTAAGTATTACCACTCACATTTTGATGGACGGTGGAAAGTTTGTGGCGAAAATATTCCGAGGAAAAGATACAAGCTTTCTCTATTCGCAGTTGCGTGTGTTCTTCAAAAAAGTATCGATCGCCAAGCCAGCTTCCTCGAGAAATTCAAGTATTGAAGCATTCGTGGTGTGCGAAGATTATTCGCCACCATGTGGCTACGTTCCACAGATGATCGATCCAATGGTCAATGACGTTCAGGTTAGTGCTGAGCAAACCGATTCGCCAGTCAATCGTTCCATCGTCCCATTCGTAGTTTGTGGTGATTTGAGGAATTTTGACTCGGATATGTCATACAGTTTGAAAGTAAGTGATAATCGTAAGTGATGGCTTATCCCAAGATTATACAAACGTTTGATTCAAATATGCGTTCTACGTTGTTATTTTCAGAGCGAAGATGGCAAAGAATACGAGTATAAAGAGGTGGTGCAAAAACCCATTTCACCGGCTTATAAAGAGATTTTGGAGAAAACAAAAAATCTATCACTTAAACATCAAAACTATTTGATTAAAGAAGAGGCTAGTGCTTTTCAGGAAAATGAATAAAACAAAATATTCAGATTTTAGATTTTTCATGTGTTTTTATTGACTTGAGTAAAGTAAATTTTTCTATTTTTCATTATCTATTTGACTTTTTTCAAAAAATTATTTTTAAATTGTGTTAAATTTAGATCAGTAAGTAAAACGTGAACATTCAAATACTCGTTATTTTTGTCACAAATGTCGGTTTGTATAACCGCTGTATTTTTATAGAGCCAAGCAAGCTCTTCGCCACCCTGAGGTACTCGAATTATCATTTTCTTTCTGTTGGTCACTTTTAGGATATTTTTCTCGATCGCATTTATCAGATTTTCAACGCCCGAACCCTTGTGGCATGAAACGAAATGCATCGGCTCGGAAGTTTCATTCCTATCCGGCTTCTTTTCAAATGACTGTTTGCTTTCGTCCAGGTCTTCTACCAAATCACACTTATTTCCCACATTTATGATATTTCGGAATAGTTGACTTCTCTCAGATTCCGAACTGTACATGAGTTGGCGGAGTGTTCGTTCAACATGTTGCCTTTGGTCGGCAACATTAATGTGAGCAACGTCTTGTACGTGGATTATCAAATCCTGCGAAAAAAAAATTTAATAAAAAACGATTAGAAAAATTATTGAAACTACGACAAAATGTTTCCATTTCTCAATTGTTTATATCAATCCAAAATAGAAAGCTTCCCTTACCGCCATCATTGCATCTTCCAACGTTGTGATGAAACATTCGATCAATTCTGTCGGAATGTCGGACATAAAACCAATTGTATCAATGTAAATGACCTGCAGATTGCATGGAAGTCGGCCAGCATGCGCTGTGACATCAAGCGTAGCGAAAAGTTTATTCTTCGGTTCTAATTTGTCCTGGTTTGTAAGTGCTTTTATCAGAGATGTCTTTCCGGCGTTTGTGTAGCCGACAACAGCCACAATGGGATATTCCTTACTAAGTCTTCTTTTGCGAACCATTTTTCGATGCTCTCGAATATGTTCCAACTCATTTTTGATTCGTCGCTCTCGGGTACGAAGCATCCTTCTCTGCGAGTCTGTCAATTTTGAACGAGAAACAGCACTGTCTTCCGTTCCCAAATGATGCCATATATATGGCAGTTCAGCTAGGGCAATTTGTAATTTTGCCTCACGACTCGTTGCGTGTGCGCTCAATATTTGAATGACTATGGAAAATCGATCCATCACCGGCACTCCAAATAGGGCTTCCAAGTGAATTTTCTGCGGCTGATCCAACTTGCTTACACTCACAAAAACGGCACTAACCTTTTGATCGATATCTCCATTATACATTTTCACTCGTTTTTTCAGCTCATCCATTTTTCCACGTCCAAAAAACGTACGTAGCCCAAATCCGATCAATGGTACTTTTATGCTTTCTGTAATGTTCCATGTGTCGAGCGATCGTATCAAGTCTTCAGCTTCTTTTAATTTAATATCCGGTGAAACATTCGATTTATTTGGACCCCATTTTACATAAGGCTGAATCACGAAAACATTCTCTTCACATTGTATACTTTTGCGCATACCGAACGCTTCATGCAGAAGCGCATTATATTCGCTGTAAATGGGATCAACAGAAAATGATAATTCATCAAAGCAAATCAATGATTTTGTTCAAGACTCTTTTTTTTTACCTATTTTTCAAAGCCACTCGATCTTCGGTGTTTTCAAGTTCATCAAAACCATCTTCATCTTCAGCTTCTTCATTGTATTTTTTTGATGCCGTTTTTGAATTTCGTCTTCCCTGAATGCCAGATGTAACATACTTTTGGCGAATATGCAAAAGTTCACCGCAATTTGAAGCCAATGGATATTTGAATTGTCTTGCATTTAATTCGATCTGTGCTGCCCGACGCAGATAAGTGTAGGTTAAAAAACGAGTGCTTAAGTGTCTTAACATTTTCTGATTTTTTCTTTTTTTTCTTTGGTGACGGTTGGTTTTAATTCTCCACACGTGGATCACTTTTAGCTTTAGGAAATTTCTCAAAATAATTTTTTGTGATGAAATAAGTAGCAGCGGACGCTAAGCTTGTGGATATAAATAAGGAACCGGCAACCGGATATCCAATTCGATTTCTGAGTGGTTTTTGCAAGAAATGCGATGTTGAAAATACTTAAAGAAGAAAAACAATTGGCCAAATAATTTAAATTGTAAAATCCAATCGAATCGAACCTACCGAACCAAAATGAAGCGAGTCCAGTCAACGCACTGCGCCCATAACATTCAACTAATGGATCAAAAATTGGGTTTGTATTTTGGGATTTTTTCGAGTCATTCATAATTTTCAGTTCAATTTTTATTTGTCTTTCACATGAGAAACGAAAATCACCAAGAGACACTGATTAACACTCAAGACTCGAATTGGAATAAATGTTTGGTTATGTTATGAAAGTGACAGAAGACCAAAGTGGTATAAACACTGGAACAGCTGATAATTCGAGCAGTAACGTTTATTCAGCGATAAGATGTGCGAAGGCCCTAAAAACAACAACAATTGACAAATTATCAAAACAAGTGATCTACATCACAAATATTGGTCTAATCTCTGCACAAAGTCGCATCAGATTTGAATTAAAATTTGGCTTTTCTTCTGGTTTTCGAAATTGAAATAAAATGTTTTACACGAGATTTTCTTCAGCAAAACGGTATGAATAAAAATTATTTGGAAATAATTTAAAAAATTTCAAGAAAAATTTTGATTGAAGGAAATGCGATAGAAAATCAAGCATGAAAAAAGGAATACGTAAATATGTGATGACGAAATGTGTTGTTTACACATCTGTGCTATAAATACTATGTGATATTGGTTTTGATGCTGACTTACATATAAAATTCATTTTACGATGTGATTATTTCAATAATAGGAGCTAAAATTAAAAAAAAAAAAATGGAAAATATCCAATTTCAATATTAATAACAATTCAAAAAAAATTCGATTACAGATTTTTAAGTGCACAGTCTCAGCCAATAAAGAAGAACATACAGAAGATTTTGATTGCAAATCGTGGTGAGATTGCGTGTCGTGTCATAAAAACTGCACGCAAATTAGGTGTACAAACAGTCGCAGTTTATTCAGATGCTGATGCCAAGTCGCTTCATGTGCACGAAGCCGACGAAGCGTATCACATTGGTCCAGCAGCATCCACACAATCGTATTTATGCAGCTCAAAGATTATCGATGTAGCAAAACGAGCTCGTTGTCATGCCATCCATCCCGGTTACGGATTCTTATCAGAAAGTGTGGAATTTTCTGATTTGTGTCAACGTGAAGGGATCATATTCATTGGTCCCCCAGCGTCAGCTATCCACGATATGGGTATAAAAAGTACGTCTAAGGCAATTATGGCAGCTGCCGGTGTTCCGATCATTAATGGATATCACGGAGACGATCAATCGAATGAAAAATTGCAGACTGAAGCACAAATAATTGGCTTTCCACTCATGATCAAAGCGGTCCGAGGTGGCGGTGGCAAAGGAATGCGAATTGCGAATACTGAAGCTGAGTTCATGGATCAATTGGAATCAGCAAGAACGGAATCGGCCAAGGCATTTGGTGACAGTTCGGTTTTGCTCGAGAGATACGTTCGATCTCCTCGACACGTTGAAGTACAAGTATTTGCCGATACCCATGGGAATGCGGTCTATTTGTTTGAAAGAGATTGTTCAGTATGTTTTTTTCATGTCTAAACTGAATGAGTTGTTTGAAAAAAAAAGGCACATTTATTCACAGGTTCAAAGACGTCATCAAAAGATCATTGAAGAAGCACCCGCTCCAGGACTATCCGAGGAACTACGAACAGAATTGGGATTGGCTGGTCAGTACTTAAATAACGAGCTAAACTTGCTACTGACTCAAAATCATTCCATTATCTTCCTTTTTTTTCTCTGCAGCTGTTCGTGCGGCAAAAGCAGTCGGGTATGTCGGAGCTGGTACTGTAGAATTTATTCTGGATAAAGAAGATTTATCATTTCATTTCATGGAGATGAACACTCGGCTTCAGGTGGAGCATCCGATTAGCGAAATGATAACGAATACGGTAAATTTTCTCATTTTTTTCTTTATCCCAAAGTGCAAACTTAAGGTGTTTTCCTGTATGATTGCAGGATTTAGTGGAATGGCAAATCAGAGTTGCATCAGGTCAGTTGAAGGAAGTGGGATAAGGATAACCAATTTCAGTTTCTAATCCGTTTGAATAATTATTAGGTGAACCATTGCCACTGACACAAGAACAAATCAAGAAACGTGGACATGCGTTCGAAGCTCGAATCTACGCAGAAAATCCGCGTAACGGATTTCTACCAGGGGCCGGCCCACTTACACATTTAAGCACTCCACTACCAAACGAATTTGTTCGTGTTGAAACTGGTGTTCGTCAAAACGATGAAGTATCTGTTCATTATGATCCAATGATTGCCAAATTGGTCGTTTGGAGCGAAACCAGAAATCTCGCGCTGAATAGTCTAATTGCTCGCCTACGAGAATATCACGTGAGTTTAATTCCACAGACATTTTTCCTTTATTCAAAATGTTATTCAATGCAATTTTTAACCCGTAGATCACCGGTCTCGATACAAATGTAAATTTCTTGATTGATTTGGCATCGCATCCATCATTCCAAGCCGGTGACGTTCATACTGGCTTCATTGATCAACATTTAGATTCGCTATTTCCTCCAATAAAAATCTCAGAGCAAACGATCAGCCAAGCCATTGCTGCGATTGTAACGGATGAAAAGATTGCTGAAACCAAACGGGCCATCGAACAAGGTTGTGAGGGTTCACCATTTGCAGCTTGCGATGGATTTAGAATAAACTCCTTTTTGGAAAGAGATCTCAATGTTGAATCAAATGGCCAAACGTACAAAATCCTACTCAAATATGTTCGAACAAACTATGAAATCCGAATCAACGATGGCGAATGGAAGCCATTTTCAGTTAAAACGGTTCAAGACCCAAATCCAAATCGTTTAAAACTGAAATTGAATTTGGACGGTGTCGAATCGATTTTTAGCGCCGTCATCAAAGATAATGTCATCGATATTTTTAACGAAGTAAGCAAAGTTGTTCACTGTAACACCGTGCCTTTTTCCATTAAATCGATAAATTTTCTTTGTTTGCAGAATGGCAAAAATGAAATCCGCAGAGTATTGCCAAAATTCCTGAAAGAGATTTCTTCTGAAGCTACAACGGCTGGTTCAAATAAGGCTGTATCGCCGATGCCAGGTATTTGCGATAAATTATTGGTAAAGGCAGGCGATCGTGTAGGAGCTGGTCAGCCGGTTGCCGTTATCATTGCCATGAAAATGGAATATGTATTGAAAGCATCCAAAGACGGTGTTGTTAAGAGTGTTAGTGATAAGCTAGGCAAAAGTGTGACTAAAGGCGAAGTAATTGTTGCATTCGAAGAGGATGAACCAAAACCAAAGAATTGATTATGTTTTTTGTTATTTTTATACGCATTCGTTTTTGCATTTACATGTTTTGTATTTAAAAAAAAAAAAAATAAAAAAATTAAAAAACAAACATTGATCAAAAGTTTACATTCAAAACGAATTTATCGTTTGGAGCAGCTATAGAACAGTTTTAAACGCATTCAATATTTGACAAATGCAAAATGTGAGGTTATGTTCACCATTGACATTTCATCGAAAACAAATATCAAGACCATGCGTTTTGCTTTGTTATTTAGCTGCTTACGGTACAACGTGTATGTTCTCTTGGAATAGAAATATAAAAAATAACAATTGAAAATGTCGTCAGACTCGGAGTACGATGAAAATCCATCGGATCAGCAATCGGAAGGCGAAAAAAATGGGGATCAAGAAAAACCCACTACATCAAATGGTACAGCAAATGGGAATGATATTGAAAAACCTGTTACTTGGACTGATTTGGTATGAAGAACTGTGAACAAAACATGCGTTGTTAAATTGAAATTCTAACTGAAAATTAATCTATTCAAAGGGTTTGGCCGAGCCATTGATTGAAGCAGTGAATGAATTGAAATGGAAAGCCCCTTCGAAGATTCAAAGTGAGGCAATTCCGGTTGCATTACAGGGCAACGATATCATTGCTTTGGCAGAAACTGGAAGTGGTAAAACCGGCGCTTTTGCTCTACCAATTCTTCAATCATTACTTGAGAATCCACAACGTTACTTCGCACTGGTTTTGACACCAACCCGTGAATTGGCATTTCAAATTGGTGAACAATTCGAGGCATTGGGCAGTTTGATCGGTGTGAAATGTACAGTCATCGTCGGTGGCTTGGACATGGTATCACAGGCACTTCAATTGGCAAAGAAACCACATATTTTAGTCGCAACTCCCGGTCGTTTGGTCGATCATTTGGAAAATACAAAAGGATTCAATCTCAAAGCCATCAAATATTTGGTTATGGATGAAGCCGATCGTATATTGAACATGGATTTCGAAGTAGAGCTGGAGAAAATTTTAAAGGTCGTTCCACGTGAACGCAGAACCTATTTGTTTAGTGCAACAATGACAAAACAAGTGAAAAAGTTGCAAAGAGCTTCACTCAAAGATCCAGTCAAAGTAGAGGTTTCGAATAAATATCAAACCGTTGAGAATTTGCAACAATACTACATATTCATTCCCGTGAAATACAAGGACGTGTATTTGGTACACATTTTAAATGAATTGGCCGGCAATAGTTTCATGATTTTCTGCAGTACTTGCAACAATACGGTGCGTACAGCATTGATGCTGCGTGCTCTTGGCATGGCTGCAGTTCCTCTGCATGGGCAAATGTCGCAGAATAAACGTTTGGCTGCGCTCAATAAATTCAAAGCCAAAAATCGTTCCATTTTAATTTCAACTGATGTCGCGAGCAGAGGATTGGATATTCCACACGTAGATGTTGTTATCAATCTTGATATTCCAACGGTATGCAACGGTTGATAGTTCACCCACCATCAACTATTCGATTGAATTAATTTTTTCGTTTTTCTCAAACAGCATAGCAAAGATTACATTCATCGTGTGGGTCGTACGGCTCGTGCTGGTCGCTCCGGTAAAGCAGTCACATTCGTTACACAGTATGATGTCGAATTGTACCAACGGTAATATTGAGTTTCATATATATGTATGTGTAAGGCGAAATTACTATACAATCTCATCAATGTTCTTTTATTTGATTTGTAGTATTGAACATTTGCTCGGCAAACAACTACCTCTGTATGCCTGTGAAGAGGATGAAGTGTTGGCATTGCAAGAGAGAGTCAGTGAAGCTCAACGAACAGCCAAGTTAGAGTTGAAAGATATCGAAGATAGAAAAGGTCAGAGGGGCAAAAAACGTGAAGGTGCCGAAGATTTTGACGATACGGAGCAGTTTATGGGGGCGAGAAAACGTTTCAAGGGACCACAAAAAAGTGGTGGAGGCGGTGGTAAAAAATTCAAAGGAAAACGTTAATCTGACGATTTAAACAAAATTAAAACTACCATTGAATAAAAATAAATAATAAATTCACCCAAATTTTTGCGTGTTTTTAATCGAAATCCATTCCGAATTGCATGCCTCAATGTGAATGACGATTTCGGCCGATTCTGTCAAATGTGAAGGAACCTTAAGAACCTTAAACAATCAACTGTCAAACTTGTTGTTTACATGTTTTCAGATTTTGTCATCATTGTGTTTGGTAACATTTCTTTGTGATAAAAATTGCGTTCTAAATTATAGACAAAAAATAAAATTAAAAATAAATATTGTTCCCGTACAGTCCCGAAGAGTCGAAATTCAACTATAAGTAAATTGAAAGGTATTTCAAGAAAATGGCCAATACCAAAGAAGAAGGTTTTTCAAAGCGATTACGAAAAGAGACAAGAGACGTGCACAAAGTCAGTGATGCGCTGATAAATGCAAAATTGGCATTTGGTTAGTAATCTCTTTGTTCCATTTGAAATGAAAAAAAAAATAAAATAAAATTCTCAATCCAATGATTCAATTTTTCAGCTTTGTCCGATAATGACGTATGGGCAGATGGTTTGTTAGTTTTTTATGAAATTTTCCGTTACCTAGAGGAAAATACTCCCGAAGATTTGCTGCCAAAGGAATTCCATCGCACACAAGCATTTGAAAGAGATTTGAGCTTTTATTTGGGTGAAAATTGGAAGCGCAATTATGAAATACGCAACAGTGTCACAATGTATTTAAAGCATTTATACGATGTAAAAAAACGCAGTCCAACACTTCTTTTGGCCTATGTCTACCATTTGTATATGGGTTTGCTGTCAGGTGGACAAATCCTGCAGAAGAAGCGTTCATTGAATCCACTCAACAGTGGAAACAATGAAGGTGAAGCTGTTACACACTTTGAAGGACATTCAATCGCCGAATTAAAAACGATAATGCGCAATTTGGTCGACACAAAGGCATTGGAATTCGACGATTCGATGAAAACGTTGCTAATTGCCGAAAGTAAAATGGTTTTCTTCCTAAACAATGAAATTGTTCGTTCTGTGCGCGGCGTCAATCGAGCGAATTTGCGGAAATTTGGCATTGTTTTAATCATCGTCATCGCCATATTCTATTTTCTCAGATTTAATAAATAAGTCATCGTCATTATGGTTGAAATTCGGCATAATTTAAGGTTATTTCAATTTTTTGTTACCTGGTTTTTATGTATGGAAAGGTCTTTGCTTTTATTCGGTTTGAATTCAATTGACTGAAGTCATTGGTCAACAATTTTTACCAGATAGAATGGACAGAAGTTAGTAGAAAGCAGAAAAAAATTCGGCAAATTTTGAGGATGATAGATTCAAAAATGATTTTATTAATGCATTATGTTATGAAATACCCCATATTTGAAGGTATCACTTAATAAACATATTGAAAAATATCGATATTAAAAGGCGCTGCTTTTTCTATTCTTTTTGTTGTTCTTTACTTTCTTTTTCTTTGCGTCTGGTTCTTTGAAATCGTCCAGATTTACGGGGTCATTGAGCCGCTTTTCACCGCTGAAATTAAATTGAAAACAAAATATTTATTCAGAATCCATTCGTTTTTTTGAAATTCAAAAATATGCATTTTAGAATCAAATAATCGAATCTCACCTTTTAACGGAGATGATACCCGATTTGTTGCCGGTTATAGCTCTACCCCATTCTTCGTCCGTTCCTTTGATCGCGTATGCGCTCAAATTCTCATTTTTTAGCCGTTTCAGCTCTTTTTTCTGAGCTTTGGCCAATTTTTTAGCACCTTCTTCTAGTTCTTCGGCAAATGATTGTGCGGTTGGTGTCATCGAATCGCCCATATTCAAATCACTCTCTTTTATCATTGTCTTTTCTATCGTTGATTCACTCACTGAGTCCAACTTCTTTGTTAATTTCTTACAACAATCATAGAATTTGGCCAATATTTGATTGACTGGCATATTGAATTCTTCGGATAATTTATCCAACGTTTTATTTTGCAAACCGATTCCAAGGAGGATGGCTTTTTGCAGTGAATCAATTGGAACATCATTCATTTTACCCTCAAATATAAGTTGACTCAAATCGGTTGTCAAATCTAAAATTAAACGATATTCCACTTGGTTTCGGGTGTACGATTCTAAACGCTGAAGATCATGCGGAATGAATAACATGTCGATGATCTGTTGTGTTAGAGCTATAGGAGGGAAGTAAAAGAAAAATTAGTATGTATATGAAGCAGAAAAAAATTACAAAATATAAAAACGAACAGGGCTTTGTAAAGTACATACGTTCATTCTTAACGGTGACGGCTTTGTTATCAAGCAATGACAAAGCCAACCCAGTTGTGAAACTTTGGAAAGTTTTTGCCAACAATTTGATGAGTCGACGACGAAAATCGCGGAAGTACATTGACAACCAATCTGATTCGAATTTGTCAGTCTTCAGAATGGATATCATAATTGTTGAATATTCTCCAGTTAAATCGTTCGCTTTTTGACTGAAAATTGATTGGAAAAAAGAACAAGAGTAGTTTCATTTTCTAGCTTAAAGACTGATTGATTTTGAATTTGCAAAGCAGATCGTACCTCAAATAAACTGGTACGAATTTTTGACTTTTCCAGAATTTCAATAACTCTCCCGTAAGCCCATAGGCTGTACCAATATAGTCTAATCGTTCTGGGCGTCGTTCAGATAAGCGCTTCAGAAGAGTTGGGATTTTTTTACGCGGTGCAATTGTTTCTTTCAATAGGCCAATTTCATCGTCATCAATTTCCTGGAAGCCATCTTCGTCGTCTGATAAATCTTTTTCGCTCAATGACGTAAATTGTCCAGCATAATAGTTCTTCAACAATTTTAATGCTCGTTTACCATAGCCCATCTAAAATGGTAAGTCCATAAATACCCATAAAGATCGACTTGATGAAAATTCCAAGAGAAAACAAACTCACCCGTTGATAATTTGGATGTGTTGCAATCCGAACCACTCGAGCTCCGGCCAGTTTCGGGAAATCTCTGTCGTTGAATTGCTCTGACACCGACCAAGGTATTAGGTCACCCACTGCTTTTCGACCACGTGACAATGAATCAGTCACGCTGTCCGAAGAGATTTGACCTTCCAGACACACTTGAATCACCACTAGAATTTCAGGCAATGCATCTTTCTTTGTGATTGGTCCAAGCAAACAGAAAATATGATGCGCTGGGGCATCGCTCATCATTTGCAAATCGTTCGGACTGTTTTTGTAATGTGATGATACATAAATCGATACTAAACGCTGCAAAAATGCTTCGGCCGCTCGATGATATGAGAATAAAGCATCACGATCCACATAATACAGTTCACAGGCATCTGGAGTTGGACAACCCGAATTTAGATTCGGTACAATGGTGGCGTCTAAACACAACAGCGATGTTAGCCAAGATTCGATGACATCGCCGGGTTTATAACGAATCGACTCTTCCAGTTTAATCTTGAAAATATATACAGTAAACATTGCATTTGAAGACCCACAAAGAGAGAGAGAAAGAGAAATATTTTTTTTTTAAATTTAGTCATTTACCGGTGGTGGTGCATTGTGTTCCTTTTGAATTTGCGACATCAATTTCAAACTCAACGATCGGCCCGTTCCTTCATAACCGTTGATGGTCGATGCCATGAAAATCAAGTATGGTCCGAGCATATTTTTCACACATGAAAACGGAATGGCTGCAGCTTCGTCAATGACCAACAAGTCGGCTGCATTCAAAAGATGCGTGTCAGTTGGCGAAATATATTGTATGGTCTGCCGACTGTTTCGTGAGATGTTAATGCGAATGACTGCCTTTTTGAAATCCGGATTGGTCGATCGAATAATGGAGTAATCAGCATGCTCTTGGTATTCGAGTGCATCAAAACCTTTCAGCACAAACTCAAACAATGTAATTAAATTCTCAGGATGTGGTGATGTAACGTAAATGTTGACATAACCAAAAGCAACAGCAGCGGCCATTGAAAGCCCCATTGCAGCTGATTTACCACGACCACGGGCCGCTGTTAAAGATGTTGGTGGTCTGAAAACGTATTGAAGAGAGATTAGTTTTGCATGGAATTTCTTTGTTGATAATGGGAAATGGTCAGCTTTTGGTTGATTTATCGGTCTAGATACTAACTTTACTTGCTTCTCGGCCAATGCATCAATAAACTGAGCAACTGCTTTGGCTTGATCATGTGTTCTGCATAGATTTACAAGTGGTCCAGCAGGGGGTGTATCGCGCAAATTCTCCTTTAATTCAGCCAAAAGTTCACTTTCATGCGAACGGCCATCGCTAACATCAACCGGATGCACATTTGCGGTCTTTGAGCTCAACGGCAAAACGGTTAAGTCATCATTGACCAACAAGCATCGATTACAATCGGCCAACGATAATATTAAACGTTCGTTGAAACGACACGTAACATTTTGATGGGCTTCCGTTCGATACCGCTTGTGCACATCCATACTCATCGTGTACAATTGTTTCAACGAACTAATCGATTTGAGCAATAAAATAATAAGACCACCACCTTCCACTGTCTCAACCGTACGTGCCAACAAATTTGGTGTCAGTGCTTCGAAATCTTGCAAAACACAAACGCCGTATGTTCTACCCAAGATTGTGTGTGTTTCTGAATAATAACGACCATGAATTGTGGTCGATACACGGAACGTATCGAATAGATCAGCTTCATTCACATCGATTTTGCCGGCTTGGATTTTCTTTGCTCGTTTTTTGCCATGGCTAAACAAAGCAAAATAAAATTATTCAGATTAAAATCTAATCTCGAATCTAATTCACGCTTCTAATTCAGTTGCACTCTAAGTAGGTAAAATTATTCAAAACATCTTCAGTACACTTACTTTGAAATGGTTTCATCTTTGGTTTTATAGCACCATAGGACTGAAGGTCTTGCCTTCACTGAGGATTTTGTTAGCATATCATAGAGAATTGGTACCTAGTACAAAATGCATTTCAGTTTATGTATTTTGTAAGTTGAGTTACAAACAAGATGCTCACCTGATCTCGTGCTTTGTCGCCGACAATAATAAACATAGTACGATGACCCAGTTTAACGCCATTTTCGATCATTACCCGAATACGATTATCAATTTTCTTTTTCACCATTTTGAGTTTGTACTTTTTATTTTTCTAATTAAATTTCTTTTCGATTTGTTTTTCTCCAAAATATGCACGTTAGCTTGACGCTATGCCTCAACCTGTAAACAGATACACGTGAAATCAGATGAGGTTATGTTCAATTTGACAGGCGATAAGCATTTTGACACATTCATTTGGATGCTAATGACTTTTTGTATGCCGTATGTGTCAAAACGATAATCATGTGCACGTTTAAATTTAGACAACAAATGATTTGAAGTAAGTCGAGCAAATAACGAGCAAAATGTGTGGCATTTGCTGTCGGCTTCGGCGGATTAAAAACGATACAGAAATTTCGTCGATTCAGGTAGTTTATCGCCCAATGAATTTTCATAAAATGGTTAAAATGATTAGAAAATATACTCACTGATTTTGTTTTTCGAAGATTGATGATTTAACCAAGGTGTTGCTTACCAATCGTGGCCCAAATTCTCACACCGAACTATCCCTTCAAACAGATGGATTCAATATCCAGTTCTCAGGTTTTGTTTTGTGGCAACAAGGTGTTAAACTATGCACACAACCACATCAACGCAAGCATCATGTTGTTTTGATCAATGGAGACATATTTACAAAGCGAGATGATAGCACGCTGAGCGACACTGAATGGCTGACTCAACGGATTTATGAATGTAATGATGATGAGGCTGAGCTTCTTGAAATGTTCCGGAATCTCGAAGGACCATACAGCATTATTTACTACAATCAAAATGCAAATAAACTGTATTTTCTGCGTGACATTCTTGGCAGACAGTCACTGTTGTTGGCCAAAAGTCCTGAAGGCGATACAATTATATCGAGCGTTTTGGGTGAATATCTGTTTTTTTTTCTTTAGTTTTTTCGGATCATTTTGAAAATGAAACTTTTCTTTCAACATTCTTTCATTAGGAGCTTCAAGGCGTCTCTATTCAGAATGTGTTGAACTTCCACCTCTCGGCGTTTTTTGTATAAATTTAGTAACAGAGGAGATTCGACTCGATCCGTGGCAATCATTGAATGCTACACACTTCGAACAGTTAACCGAATTGCAGCACATTTTTCAGCGAGAAATACAAGTAAAGTTACCCATTCACTCTCCTTGGCTGATTAAAAAAGATAGTTTGCATTGCTATAACTTTGAAAGTATTCTGAAAGAATCCATCAAAAATCCATCAACCGATATTTTTAGATGTCTCTTAGAGAATAAAGAGGTAATGAGTGTCTGTGATGAAGTTATATTGCGATTAGAAAATTCATTGCACGATCGAATATCAGCAACACCATCGATGTGTAGTGAGTGTCTAGCATCTAGGAATCAGAAATGTGAACATGCAAGAATCGGCATACTATTCTCTGGCGGAATTGATTGCACCATATTGGCAGTTTTAACAGACAAACTGTTAGATGCAACGCAACCCATTGATTTGATAAATGTGTCATTTCAAAAAATTAATAGAGCAAAAACAAATGTACCAACCGATTACAAAACCCCAGATCGGCTATCTGCATACCAATCCTTAGAAGAGTTGAAGCAAATGAGTCCACAGCGAAAATGGAATCTTATTGAGGTGGATGTCACTCGTGACGAATTGGAAGAAGCGTTGAAAAGTAGAATACCTCATTTGGTCTACCCATTGAACACAGGTAATCCACGAAGAAAGAATAACAACAGAGTAAAGCTGACACGAATTTTTCTTTTCAACTTTGCATCCAGTGTTAGATGAGTCTTTGGGTTGTGTTTTGTGGTTCGGTGCTCGAGGTCAGGGCAAAATTGATGGCGTTGACTATACTTCGAATTGCAGGGTAAACTCATTTTTTTTTTGCTTTGATCTTTCGAAATTCGTAACAACCCCAACCTTTTTTTAAATTGGAAACTTAATTCAATCTCGGTTTCTTCTTAAAACAAGGTGCTGTTGATTGGATCAGGAGCTGATGAATTGTTCGGTGGCTACACACGGCATCGGAATGCATTTATTCGTCAATATGAAGATGATCTAACGCCATTTGAACGTCTTGAAAGAGAGTTAGAGTTTGATTTTAATCGTTTGCCGAATCGAAATTTAGCTAGAGATGATCGTGTGATAGGTGATCATGGGGTGACAGCACGTTCACCTTATCTCGAAGAGAAGCTTGTACACTTCATTCGTGCACTTCGACCATACCAAAAGTGTTATCCCATGCTAGAGCAAGGAGTGGGTGATAAATTACTGCTTCGGCTATGTGGTTTCCGCTTAGGTCTCCGGGAAGTCGCTACTCTCAAAAAGAGAGCCATGCAATTTGGATCTCGTGTAGCTGATAGCAAACAAAATGCAAAAGATATTTCCGAATCTTTGGTGCAAATTTTGAACAACTGAATAAAAATGCCAAACCTTAACGGTATTTGTTCTATTTATTAATGGTTTTTTTTTTTAATTTTCGAATTCTAATTAACAATTGATTTTTAATATAGCTTTTTTTTCTAAATTCTAACGTTTCATTAAACTGGAATTAAGTACACAAGGTAAATAAAGTTTCGTAAAATTAAGTAAGTTCTTGCTGTGTGTATGTATTATTATGAATCATAAGTACCTAAAAATATAACAATTATTGTGATAATGATCAAGCAAATTCTGCTCATCTGTAAACCTGTTTCTTGTCCTTCTTAAAAAATGTGTTCAGTTCTGAAAAAGGTCGGTTTTGTTAAAAAAAAAAGTTTTTCGTTTTGCGTATATTGTGCACTCTATATTTGCAAATACCTTCATGGACGGATATCTGCCGGAAAATGAAGATTAATTCTGTTTATGCCGAAAAGAATGGAATTCTACGAATGTTAAAAGGATGGAAAACAAAATGGAACAAGTAATTTTGCGTACTTTTAACACTTTTTGGATCAAGTGTCTGGAAATACTGAATGTTGTAGCTCTTGTTTTTATTTTTATTCACTTGCAATATTAGTTGGCGTTGTAAATCTTCTCTTTTTGTAATAATTGGACACAAATACGAGGTATGAACATTGCTTCGTTTTGTCTACTCTTTGATTTCATCAACATGGAATGTAATACGTATAGTTTGATCTACATCAGTTTTTAGTATAAAAAATCTCTTATCGTTTGAATCTCTCGCTATTCTCCCATATTTTCATTACCATGTTCCAATAAAATGGAACTAAAATATATTTAAGTAAACTTGAAGGTATGTAGGTATTGCTTTCAAATGCGTACGAAAATATATACACATTTTTCACGGTAAATTTTATGTGGTGTAAAACAGATGTATACCAATTTTCAAAAAACAAAATTACGCTTGGATTTGTGATTGTATTTAGTTTCATCGAAATTTTTTTAAATCTCCCAATATAAGGCCATATGTTATAATTGTTGTGCGTTTTTTTTTGTGTTTTTTTGCCAAGGCACATTTTAATTTTTAAATGATGTTTTTTCTATTTTTAAATTTTCATAATTTTTCATAACATTTTGTTGTTTTTGTTTTCTTGTTGACATGATATGTGTGCATGCTCAGTTTGACTGTTGTTGGCTTGCGGGGAAATTTGTTACGGTTTTCTAATGATTTCATGTATGATTTAAAAAAAAAATTACAATAATAAACATTCTAATTACTTGAATTTCGAATACAGAAATACTGAGGATGCGATTAAAAAAATAAAAGTTATTACATGATTTATGCATCGGGAAATGGAATTTGAATCAAATTTATACAGATTATGACATGCTTTCTTTTCAGGATTGTTTTTTTTTTATCACCTACGGTTTCTTGTTATCGCAATAATTTTTTACACTTTTGCTCTTCGAATATATTAAATATGTTAACAAATGCCCGGTAAATTTTCAATGATTTCATACAAAAAAAAAACACGCAGAATAAATGTATACATCATTTCAAAATTTGATTTTCAAGCAATCATTCAATGACAAAAACGCACCTCTATCGCGCTCGGTTGAAATTTTTTTGCACCAAACTATAAATGCAATACACCGTCCTTTTGATTAATCAAACTGTTTGAATCATCAAGCGATTGGTTTTCAAGTAAATCGAGAACTTCATCCTCTTGGTCGTCGTTTTCGATTTCATCGGAAGCAGGATTTGTGTGTTGTGACTGCTGTGAACCACTAGATACTTGGCTATTGCGCGAGAACGAGCCTCGTCGTGGTGCAGCCAAGGTTCGTTGATTCGCTGGTTTTACGGTGATTATCAATTTGGCGCTGTTTGCCACCATCATATCGGTTACCTGCAATTGAATGGTGAAATTATCAAAAGTTGTTCGTAAACATATTGTTGAATAAATAATTAACGATTATGTGTTTGCTTGGCGCTTTCTTTAGCAAATTATGTTATTGTTTCGTCTTCTCTTTCGTACCTGATCGAGTGATTTGCCAGCCACTTCGATTCCATTCACCTCAAGCACTTCGTCATTCACTGCCAGAAGCCCGGTACCTTCAGCCAAACCACCAGGCACCAAACGCGATATAAATATCCCCGGCTGTTTCTCCAATCCGTTTGCCGTTACACGAAAAGAGGTTCCATCACTGTGCAAGTGAACACATTTCAATACATCAATTTTATTTTTTAAAAAAAAAGTGACTTAAACTATTGTAAAAATGGTTTTGTTTGTCTCCTTCCATTGCCTTACCGAATATAAAATCCGAGTGGTTTGTCACTGCCGTGTTTTAATAGCTTAACACGTCTACAAGTTTCGGGGACTTGATCGACATCGATGATGGCTGAAACTTGTCGAAAATCGTGTGGATTTGAAATAGCCAGTGTCTTTGATTTTGCAGGTGTTTGCCCTAAAATGCTACTGATAAGATTTGTCCGTGTTTTCATCGTTCCATAGCCAGTGATTTCTTCCAAACTATCGCCTGCAATTCATGCGAATGAATGTATCAGCTTCTTATTGTTATTATTATCAATCGGGCTATCGATTTTATTCATACCTTTTCTTTGAATTATCAGACGAAGCAGCGGCCGGGCTGTTGATAGCGCTCGTACATAGTTATCGTCATTGTTTATTGGCAATAGGTCATTGTCGCGCGGATCGATATATGATATCAGCAACTCTATATCTTTTATCTGATGCAAACGTTCAATCATTTTGTAGAATTCATCGAAACTTTTCGTCTCTGCCCGTTTCACTGACCAGCGTCGAAATTCCGCATCAAACTATTCAAACGGAACGGAAATCAAAATGAACGGTTAAAGCATATCGGTTGAAACAAAATACATTTTTCTCTTGTGTATTTTTTTTTTTTTCATAAAAAGATGAGAAAAAAACAGAGAAGAAAAGAGAAAATTGTATAGAAAAATGACGTGCTATGATTTGCTTTCACTGCCGTCGACCGCATCCAGTGCATTCGGTGTAACGTTTCGTGAGCGAAAATAAATATTTATAAAACTAGTATTTTAATATCATTTCCATTGCGTGAAAAATGTTTTGAAATTTGAGTTCATTTTACGTTATTCTATTTTATTTCGTTTTTGACGATGTGGTTTCGAGGTGATTTCAGTGCTTCTCGGAAATGCAGTATTGAAATATCCATGGAACCATGACCTAGGCTAGTGATGTTCGACATTCTCTTCCGAACGCATATGTATGTATATATATATATATATATATATATATAAATACACAATACACGTACTACACGCAACAAGCGGCAAGCAACAAAAGCACTCATTATATTATCGCACATGAATAATTATTTCGTTGAACATTTTTCTTTGACGAACTCCCCATCCATTTAACTACAATTTATTGGATATTAAGAGTTTTTTTTCTCTCTCAAATACTTGCCTTTGATTTAATTTCAATATTTTCTTTATCGAGACGGGGATGAATTATCTTTTTTGACATTTTGTTAGTAATTTTCGTTTATTGAATCCAGATTAAAAAAAAACAGTTTTGTACGCCTTTTTTTCTCTTCTTTGTCACTTTGTTGCGATAATTGACTTATCGTGTCGTATTTTTTGATCGTTTTATTGCTGAACACCGAACAACACACCAAAATCAAATGGAAATGAAACAACCACAAAAAAAAAAATTCAAATTAACACACAACAAATTTGGTTGAAATAATATAACAAATTCAGCGCACGACCATAGACATATTTCTCTTTTTTTCTCTCTCACTTTACAATCGACTAAGGCTTGTGATTCAAACTATTGCTGCTTCGCACAAACACTGTATTCAAACCGATCACTGAATTGAAATAGGAAAACAATTATTTTTTTACACCTGAATCTTAACGACAACAAATATATAACTCAAGTACACAACGCATATGACGGAATTTATTCACACATTTGCGCGGCGAATGCACGAGTCGAGAAGTCACTGATTCGTCACACAAAACATAAATGAACACCTAGGTGTAATACAAATTTGTTGTCTCCTCTCGCCTCTCGTTTTTTTCTTCCTCAATTTTGCTTGAGCTGCAATGATTCCCTTGATGCTGCTAGAATTCTTTTTATCATGACGCACAAGTGAAGTGCACACGAAATAGACAAATTTGGAGTTTGTTTTGTGTGTATTTTATCGAAAAAAATTTCAATACTAATTCATCATTTTAGTGGACTTAATAAAATTTTGTTGCTCGCTTTTCTCACTCACTCAGCGAACTGATCAAACAACATTTATATTACTGTGCCCGTGGAATTTTTTCTTCTTTCTATTTTTACGTTGTTAAATACAAACGAAAAAAAAAAAAAAACAACGACAAAACTATTCTCGATATCAAAAAGGAAAACACCAGCGCAAACAACAAAAAAAACAAAAATGAAATGGTCGGTAATAATGGTAATAAAGGAACGAGTAGTGTAGTATGTGTAATTGATTCGATGAATAATTTAATACAATAGTTTCAGATCGAATCAACTTCAATATACACAAATGCACATTGCACACATGTACACGAGTACTATACACGCAGACACACAGAGATAAAGCAATAATGGCGTGAAGTTGACACGATTGTTCTTCTTCTTCTTCTTTTCAAACATGCAATCAGGGTTGCTCCATCAAATTTCAGTTAGATTTCGAATTGTTTAGATGCTTATACTGCGTGGTTGATATGCAAACGATTGCTAAAAATCAAAATGAAATGAGATATCGAACTCGAAATATGACTCGCTTACTATGATTCGTTTTCTGTCTTCAATACTCATTTGGTATTCTCTATCAATATCATTCGCATTGCCATGAACAAAATGACTACATAAGAATCCAGCCCTTAGATGGAGCTGCTGGTTACCATCAATGTCAATACAAATATGCGTCGTACATTGAACGCTTCTTATTGTGTATGTACATCAAACAGTTTCGAAGCATTTGTCAAGCAATTCACACTTACTTTGTTCCATTTTGGTGCAATTGAACTCTTTCGTTCGCATCAAGCTCAGACACACACAAAAATAAAACATATTGTTTCTGTAAATCGATTTGGACAATTCGGTTTTTTTTCCTTTCGGGCGCAATTCCCATAGTTTGAACATAAAAAGTGATTGAAATTTCGCTTTCAATTGATTTGCAGCAATCGGAAAAGGAAAGCGAAATTATCAGGGAAAAAAATCGATTATCCCGATAAGTAAGGAAAACTACATTACGAAGGGGAAAAAACCGACAATCATACAAAATGTCGCATCGAAACAGCGAGTGCCGAATTTATGTGGGCAATTTACCGCCAGATATTCGTACCAAAGATATTCAAGATTTGTTTCACAAATTTGGAAAAGTGACATTTGTCGATTTGAAAAATCGCCGCGGGCCACCATTCGCATTCGTCGAGTTTGAAGATTCACGGTATGTAAACTTAGACACAAACAATCAAGCATTCTCGTTCATTTTTGTCATTGCCGAATTATCAACATCGTTTTGTCTCTCTCTCTCTCTCTCGCTATTGCTCTCGTATCGCTTGTTGCGACTGTATTTATTTCGTTTGAAATGATTTTTTTTCGCTTTGGTTGTGATTCAAAAAAAAAATGTGTACATTTTTAATTATTATTTTTTTTCGCTTCGAAAAGGTTGTTTAATCAATTAAATGCATGACAACCGAAATAAAAAATGGCAAAATGAATAAACGATAATTTACTGTGTGTTACCATGTGAAATAGTTTAATCGATAAACCCTCAACTAATAGGCATGAACATTATTATCGGTAGAAGTGAGCACACATAATGAACAAGAGGCATGTGTGCGAGTACATTTGCACTTTGTTCTTTTTTTCTTACTGATATCGATTTAATTCCATACCATTTTATTTGCGAGACATTACCGAGATATGAACACAATACATGTACTTTCGACATATTTCCATTGAAATACGTTGATTTTCTTATCTGAATCACAACAAAAGCAAATCTGAACAACGAATTTAATTGAATTTTTCTGGAGCATACAATACAGAAAAACCAAACTAATTAAAATTGAAATTGTCGAGCTTTGTAGGGATTTGTACATGAACAATATAAATTTTCGATTAAAATAAAATCAACATTATTCCTTATAGAGATGCTGAGGATGCCGTTAAAGCAAGAGACGGGTATGATTATGATGGATACCGTTTGCGTGTTGAATTTCCACGCGGTGGTGGACCAGGTAGCAGCTACCGTTCAAGTCGAAATAATGACCGAAACCGTAGCAATCGTGGCGCTGTTACAAAACGTTCACAGTATCGTGTCCTGGTATCTGGCCTCCCGCCATCTGGTTCATGGCAAGATTTAAAAGATCACATGCGTGAAGCAGGTGATGTTTGCTTTGCCGATACTTACAAGGATGGTACCGGTGTGGTCGAATTCCTGCGGTACGATGATATGAAGTATGCCATTAAAAAATTGGACGATTCACGCTTTAGATCGCACGAAGTAAGTGTCCGGTAGTAAATAGCCTGGTTCAGAAGTATTTGTATTAAAATTATTTAAAATTGCACATTTATCAATAGGGTGAGGTTGCGTATGTAAGAGTTCGTGAGGACATGGGAGATGATCGTAAATCATCACGCAGGTAAGTAGCGATGAAAATGATAAACGAATTCCTAGTGCAAAGGTATCTTTGAAAAAGATTGAGTACAAATATGATGCGACATTCAAAAGCGATTGATATCTTTGCACTTGAAATGTAAAGTCCTCTAACTGTCCTGCCATTCTAAATGTGATTTTTGTTTATCATAACAGTAGATCTCGTTCTCGCCGATCATCATTTTCACCACGCCGCCGTCGGGATTCACCATCGGATATCTATCGAAGAACCTACTCTAGATCTCGATCCCGCAGTGATTCCAGATCAAACTACTAAAGCCCAATCGGTCATCCACATCTGGTTCACAAAAACACTACCTTGTCTCTGTCATTAAGTCGTTGCAAAACACATTCATGTTTGATTTGAATGTGTTCAGGTACGTCCACGTCCTGAACAGTGGCAAAATTGAATTGACTAAAACCTAATTGTAAAACAACAACCCTTTTCCCCCCCCCCAGAAATACTATATTTGATTAATCATGAAAGAAGGATTCAACATATATTTTAGCATTTAAGATGTAAGAGCAATTCACACAATCTTTCATTTCGCAAGTACAAAAATATACACGAAACGATAAAAAAAAGGGAAAATAGCTGTATATGATCAACAAAACTAAAAACGCTAGGAAAATTCAAAGATTTACATCAGTCTCATTGATTTATTAAAATTAAATTGCCATTGAAAAAAAGAAACGAAGAAATACACATTCCCATCAATCTATTCTATCTTTTTCATAAACAAAAATTTGTAAAAGATTGGATGAGATACAACTTGCCATTATAGCGACTAGGCACAAAATGCCATCTTCGATTTTATACATCGATTCCATAAAAAATCCAATATAACGTTCCTTCTAAAATGGACCTAAATTGTCTAAATAGCAGAACAATTATTATCTGGTATATTTCTGGCCCAATTGAGCCGCTTTTTCAACGTAATCAATCAATTTTATTTCAATTGATAGAGTTATAAAAACAAAACTAAGGCATTTTGAAAATAACATATACACAAACAAATAACATAGAAATCAGACTATAATTTATACACAAACTTTAAATCTAATATACTAATTCAACAATTTCAATTTTCTTCTCTCTTTTCTATTCGATTTGACGGATGGAGCATCATAATGTTCATCTGGATTTTGAAAGAAAAACAAAATTCATTATTCAAATTACGAAGAAAAATGGAATAGAATTGAGAAGGAAACTATTTTGAATTCGAAATATAGAGAGAAAGAGAGAATGAATTCGAAAGGATTAACAATGGGAATTTCCGGATAAAACACGATTTGACAGAATCTTTTATGGATTGATATATGTGTGATTTGATTAGGAGCAGATTGCGCACTGAATATGTTGGAAATTGACTTAGGCGAAAATAGGATAGGAAATGATTTGGCCGAAAAACGCAACTGGAACTCAGACAAAATCACACACAGCAAAAATGGACATGATTCACGTTCCAAAAACAAAAGCATTCACACAACAACTGGATGTGCGCTATTGCTGCAAACTTGATTGACATGCACATTTTCTGTAAACTTCATGTATGAAAGAAGAAGAGGGAAACATCGGACAGATGTTCAATATGTGTTTATTTGTATGTTCTTTGCATATCAACGAAACCATCCTTATCCGAAGGATTCTGCCTAAAATTGTAATTTTTAAATTGATTTTTTTTTTTCGTTTAAAATTTCGAGTGATAATTGTGTGTTTAATGTTTGCACTGAGTTTTGAAAATTGAAAGCAATCGGCTGATCTGTGTAATAATCGGTTGTGAATTTCCCTGTGCGCATCGCATTGATTTGCTATTTGGTACACCACTGCAATGAAAATGCATTTCGTTTTTGTACTCATTCCATCGAAATCTCATTCAATCATTCAACGGACACATGCAAATGATTATCATTTCCGAATGGATTACATGCACGCTTTACAATCACTTTGCCGAACGGTTTTGGAGGAATTCATAAATTAAATTCATCATTCTTATCTGCGCTCATTTGATTGGATCACGAACATTTTTATACAATTTCCAAAATTTTTGATGATCGTATTTTCTGCGTCATTTTCTGCATGTGCAAATGTCAAAGCTATTTAAAATGGATCTACTGAACTGGATTGACCAGGAAAAACAGAAGAAAACCGCGATCCGAAATAAGAAACACAAAAATGCACACAATCACACATTTTCAATAGACTTCGAGGGATTCACAGAGCAGTGGATGACCCAAATTCGGAAATTTTCACATGAATAGGACAATCGAAACAGAAAATATTAAATAAACATTCACACAGACAGACACACACCTCCGCTCTTTATATGGACAAATAAAATTGGATAGGACATTTGAGTTGAAGTAGGAGGGAATTTGAGACACAGGCGGAATACCTACACTAATAGGATCACAGGATATTTCATTTTATACGGTATGCTTAGACATTTTTGTTTTCTTTTTTTTTTCTCTAATTCTCCTCATTTATCTTCCTTTTCAATTGTAAGCTTTTGTTGTTTCCACATGGTAATCACCACTTTTAATTAGATAAACCACTACATTTTCATTTTGGTGGAATGATTTGCACCCAATTTCTGATTTATTCTCTAAAAAAGACATCTCTCTCTCCGGCTCAACTAATCAAATTCCATCGAATTTTACTACATTTTAGTGTCACAAATTCCAAATGTGTATACAACAAATTTAATGGCCATATGAATAATTGCATGAAAGTATTTTAGCCTTTTTATTATTTAAATTTGAAAAAAAAAATATGATTTCAGTTCTTCTTTTAATACATTTTTTTCCTTTCGTCAATACCAAATATACCAACGAAATTTTTGTTTTTGGTGTAGGGAAAGCACCGGGATTAACATCTTTTTCTTTCTTTTTAAACATAAGCAACAATTCCAAAAGTATAAATGCTTAGCAACTTCTAGGTCTCACAAAAAAAAAACAAATTCATTGAAATTCTAATCCAAATACATAATTTTAGTGATTTTCAATACCATTTAATATGCCGTGCTATTTCATAAGTTTTACAGCAATAAAGTAAAAAAAAAATAATAACAAAAAACCAATTTCTCGTGTATTTTATTTCCTGTTAAAACTCACATTCAATCTCTATGAATGTTGATTGCAACAACAAAAAGGAAGCGTGTACATTGTATACACATTGCACATGCAGAGCGTAGGATATATGGTAAGTGAAATTGATAACATGCATTACAAATTGCATAGAAAGTAGCAAAGAAAAATGTTTGCGGTTAACCAAATTGGCGAATTTCTAAGACGTACAATGTACCTACATCCGGCAACATCTGTATATAAGCAGAGCAATAGCTTCGGTTCCATCAGTTAGTAAGAAAGTAAGGTCAAGTTTCAATTTTGTAGTTTGTCGCCTAAATCAAAAACAAAATGTCATCGCATAAAGTGAATAAACGTGTTGGTTCAGTTATGAGTCGTCCGCATCAGAAAGCTGGACTTGAGGATGCAGAGAAAAATACCGATCCACAAAATCAGGAAATTCTTTTAGCGTTTACCCTCACTGGATTGAATAGATCGGATTTCTTCTCGCAATTTTTTCCACTTCATCGACAAATCGCCTCGCGACTCATCGATTATTTGATATCCATCGACTCCGTTGATAAACTATTGCAAATTTCTTCGTATGGTCGTGACTTTATCAATCCGAACTTGTTTAATTATTGTTTTGGCATGGCGGTTCTCAACCGAAAAGATACCGCTGATTTGTTGCTACTGAGTCCCGCGGTAAAAAAACAATAATATACAAATTAGTTGTAATTTCAATACGCAATCGACTAAATATTCGTTAAAAAAAAAAATCACAGGAAACGTTTCCGGATAAGTTTTTCCCTGCTGAGGTATTCCAGCATGCAATCGAAGAGTTGACGGTTGTTCCAGAGGGCTCGAGGGTAACAATATTTGTAAACTTATTTTTGAATAATTTTTCAAACACTCATTTTTGTCATAGAAACCAATTTTGATCGATATACCAAAAATGGCCACTGACAAATACGCTGAAGTACGATTGGAATACTTTCGACATGATCTTGGTTTGAATGTTTGCTATGATTTCTGGCATTTGACTCATCCATTCGAAGCGGTGAAGAGGGAAATCGTGGATTTGGACCGTCGCGGAGAGCTATGGTATTATTTCCATCAGCAAATAATTGCGCGATATAATGCTGAACGCTATTGCAATGGTTTGCTTCCGGTTGTGCCGTTATCCAATTTCGATGAACCGATTGAAGAGGGCTATTTTCCTAAGATATGCACCCAATATCTGCTACACTCATGGGCGCCACGTTTTGATAACAGTAAAATACGTGATTTGCATCGTCCATACGAAGGACTTGTCGTCAATAAAACGAAATTTCAACGATGGATCGATCGAATTTGCAACGCAATTGAATTGGGCAACATTTTAGACGTAAGCACTAAACAGATAACTAGACATTTAAGCAAAATAAATTTACATATTCGGCAAAAATATTCAATTTGTAAAACATTATAGGACAAAGGTGCCCAAATCCCATTGAACAACGATAAAGGTGTTGATCATATCGGCAACATATTACAGGTTATTATTATTATTATTATTATTTAAATCTCATTTCTTTAATCGAAAACCATTTAAAATTCAGTCATCTGTACTGTCACCGAATCGAACATACTACGGCGATATTTGTAACATTGGCCATGCTTTCATCGCTTATTGTCATGACCCGGAAAATATGGCATTGCAAGCGTACAGTGTAATGGGCGAGCCTTCAACATGTACACGTGACGTGCTCTTCTATCGCTGGTATGCCTTCCTTGTGCGAATTGTTCAAAATCATAAATCCCAATTGCCAGCATACACAAAAAATCAGGTAAAATTCGATTTCAAACAAAGTGTACTTTCAACAACATTCAAACTCTTTTTCTCTGAACTGTAGCTTGGTTTTGATGGCATCAAAATATCTTCAATATCCATTGAAAATGGTAAAGGTGGCAAGCAGAACCAAATAAATACCAGTTGGGATGAGAGTGACTTCAATCTTAAAAATGGTTTGAGTTTTCAACCTGACGGTGATATTTTTGTAAGATGTGTACACTTGGCACATGAAGATTTTCAATATGTATTCGACATAGAGAACAACAGTTCATCGCAACAAACGGGAACGGTTCGCATTTTTTTGAGCCAAAAGAATAATGTTCGCGATAGAGAACTCACATTCGAAGAGATTAGAATGTTGATGATAGAGTTGGATCGCTTCCCAGTGAACCGTACGTGAAACTTTTGTTATTATTACAATTTGGTTAATGACCGTATTCAAATTAAAATTCATCATTTTAATTGCAGTTCCACCTGGAAAAAATCATATTATTCGCAGATCGACTGAGTCTTCGGTAACAATCCCATCCAAAAATATATTCGAACCAGACGTAATTCGACAGTCGATAACTTCCAAATCAAATGTCGACTCATCGTATTGCTTGTCGGGGTGGCCCGCTCATCTCTTGATTCCCAAGGGCACAAAAGAAGGCGCTAATTTCCTACTTTTTGCCATGGTTTCGAAAGATGACCCGGTAATGAGCTAATGAACGATTTTAGATATAGCAAAAGAAACTAAAACTCATTTGTTTCACACACAATTTAGGTTGTCGACCCTTCCACTAAGGGTAGTAATGACGGTACATATGGAAAGTGCAGAAGTGCATCATCCTACTGTAGTCTGCCGAAGCGTAAATATCCCGACAGCAGAAGCATGGGCTTTCCATTTGATCGCCCAGCAGCACTCGATGTATTGTCATTGCATTCATATCTTCAACCAAATATGAAGACTTTGGATGTTACCATCAAATTCAGTGACAAGTAAAAGGATCCAAACCACCCAAACCTGCTGATAAATTGAACAATTATAATATACAGTATACTATGGACAACGCATAAAATAATCAAACTTATTTGTATACCATTTTAAACCCTTTTTATTTAAAGTAAGCATAAATACATAGCAAACAATACGAACATCAAAATTTTGAGTCTCATTTTATATCCCGGTGTCCCGTACATCCTGAGTTCACCACACTTTAATTACCCTATAAATCATAGATCCGTATCAAATCGTCGATTGATGTTGCGTACTTTGTAACTGGACAGCGACTGTCGCTATTCAAATGTTTTGCGATGCACTTGAAGCAGAAAACATATCTGAAATGAAGAATGGTTGAAAATTTTTACTCATTGTTCTTTTTCGATGGGGGTCGTTGGCCGAATCATTTGTGTCACTCACCCAGATATCCGATTGACTGTTGGAATTTTCCAAGTTTGTAAGCAAATTGGGCAAATATTTCGATATCGTCCCGCTGCATTTGGATTAGCGCTGGGTGGCTCTGGATTTGGTAGCTTGGTTAAATTTCCGTGACTTGTCTCGTTCTGCCACCATTGAACGAATTGAAGAAAGAATGCAGACAGTTCTAAGGCTCGAAAAACCATTCCCGTTAAAACGGCCGACTTGTGGAAATTCATTGAAAACAAATCCGACCACGACCAATCTAAATTGGAATCCGCTGATAAATAGACTAGATGTTGACCGATGATTCGATTGAAAATGGAATGTGTTTCGCTGCGATCGGAAAGATATCCAACATACTGGACGACTTGCAAGCAATCGTGTATTCCTTTGGCAATTTTATAGGCGGTAATGCATTTTTTCTTTCGTCTCAACTCTTTTACATCAATAACTTCATTATCACAGTCATCCTCCCATTGTGCCATTAAATTCGTTAACTTTGCTCTGATGTATGGTGTAATCACGACCAGTATAAACGCCAATAATTTGTCGAATGTGGAAAATTGCTCATTTCTCGTACGTACTCGAGACAAACTGTAAAACACCTCGGCCAAGGAGCCGCCTGTGGTAAAGAATAATTGCAGTTGTAATTTTGTTCGGTTTATTTTTGGATGCAATTGATTTTTTACCGTAACACCGAATGTAATGTTGCTGGATGACCGCATTCAGACACAAATATATTTCGTCATAATATTGTGATAGCCAACCATATTTGGCTGGATTCGAATTGACCAAGAACTGAAACAACAGTCGAATTTTAATGAGAAAAATATTTTGATGTGCATTTAAATGCTTACATTAGCGATTCGTTTGAGTGCTGGATAGAAGGTTGATTGAAGTGAATCGGCCGCTACAAGTTCAAAGATCGATGGTTTTGCCTGTAGAGTTTGTGTTACGTGTACACTGTTCTGTGCCATTACAACTAAACAATTCTTTTTTTCTTTCTTTAGAATTTATTCCACTGTTTCTGCAAATGAACCATTCTCATTTTAAGAAAATTACCATAGAAATTGCGATAAGAATCACATTTGGAGTAGTTGTTTATTTTGATCAACATTGGTATTATTGTGTGAACTGTCAAACTGGAGATTTGTGTGTGCGTTTATTGCAAACGGAATGACATTGACATCTGAGACAGATTCAATGACAGATGGCAAATCAAACTGAGCTGTTGTGTTTGTTTCATCGAAATTAAAGTGTTGTTATATACGGACAAAAAAGAAACAAAAATCATTACATTTTCAAGTTTGAAGTGGATTGTTGCTCTGCACACTGGCTGTTGATAATGCGTCGGGAATGGCTGACAAATATCATTTGGATTTAAACTCAAATGAAATGTGCCGAAATTGCTTGGCGCGAAATTGTCAACTAAAATCATTGTTTCGCTGCGATATCATTGACGGAGATGTTTGGCCCATTCCAAAAGTGTACAAAAATGTTACGAACATTACGGTAAATCAACAGTTTCAAATCTTATCTTTTGAATGATCTTGAATTTCATTTGTGATGCATATTACAGATAATCGAAAATGACAACTTTCCACAAAATATTTGTACAAAATGTGAGTCGACAATGTTTGAAGCGTTCACGTTCAAACAGAAAAGTGTGAAATCACATAATTTACTGCGAAAAATCCTAAAAATTTCGCCAGACGATGAGGCTGACGTATTTCTAACACCTCTACCAGCGGAACGAAGATCTCAATCAACACAAATTCCTAGTGATATTGATGAATCGGACATATTAGCTGTTGAGGTCAATGTCAACGAAGCAAATTCCGAACAAAGCAAACAGGAACAATTTCCATCTGATTATGTCGAAGAGAGTGAAGAGTCTGAGGATGTTTGGCAACTTGTTTATTTGACAAATGCCGAAAATGAAGACACTGATCCAATGCAAGACCAAGAGATTCGTGAGAATGAAAACACCGACCCACTTGAGGAGGAAGAGGTGCAAAACCGGTTTTTATTGGATTTGGCGGAAAGCGTCGATTGTGAATATTGCAACGAACAAGTATTGGAGCCCCTCATGAAAAGTCATTTGAAAGAACATGCAAAAATTATGCCATTTCTGCTCGGCTCGATGGATTTTTTTCGATGTAGTCGATGTTTGACCGCTTTTCCATTCATCGGAAGTCTGATGGAACATGTTGACGCCGATGAAGGGTGTCAACAATCATTGGAACTGAATAGAGTGGACACATGCACCGACTATCAGTATTTAGCCAATGATCCAATGATTCGCCTATTTTCCACTTGCAAAAACATTGATACCAATACATTTTCATGCAGTTTATGCACTTTAGACTTTGAAGATTTACTAGCATTTCAAATGCATTTTGAGGACGAACATTTGTCAAGCTTAGATTGCCATCCCGAGTACTTTCACACCGAATTGGCACACACATGTGGCATATGTGAAAGTGTGTTCAAAAACCTCAAAGACTGCCTTCATCACATCTACTTTCACCAAGCCGAATACACATGCATGGAAAGCGACTGTGATCATGTTGCCAGCACTTTCTCACTATTATACTTCCATTTGATACGCGGTCACTCACAACGAACACGTACATTCGAATGCACGCACTGTACATACGATGCTAAAAATGTTGCGGATTTGAAGGAACATCAACGGAGCACGTGTCCTGCACGCAATATCAAGTGTGAAGCTTGCGGTAATCATTGCATTCATTTTGGGAACAAAACACACACACACACACTCACATCCTGACAACCATCAAATTTTTCTTTTGTTCCTTTAGGAAAATCATTCTATAAAAAGAGCACCTTAACCATGCACATGAGAACACATACGAATGAACGACGATATTCGTGTTACTATTGTGAAAAGGCATTTCTACAGAACAACGATTTGGCCAATCATCTGAGGTAATCATCACTTTGTTTTGCTAATGGAACAATAAACATTTTCTAATGTGAATCACCAAATTTTCCCTCAGGACGCACACGCTCGAGCGACCATTCAAATGTAAACTGTGTGATGCACGATTTAAGACTGTCGGTCAGCGAATTGGCCACGAAATCACACACACCACTGAGAATAACTTTGAGGTTAGTAGTCTCTGTTTACCCTTTTGTCGCATTTATTTTGAAAAGTAGAAGAGCAAATAATAATTGCATTTATTTCGATAACTTTCTCTTTCTCTCTCAACGTGTGACCTCAGTGCAACATATGTCAAAAAAGGTTCAAGTCAGCCCGAATTTTGCGTGGTCACAAAAAAATCCATGGTGAACGACAATTCCACTGTGATTTGTGCAGCAAAAATTTCAATCGCAAATATCATCTTACTCTCCATATGAAACGGCACGACAAGCCAACAGCGGCGACGACGACGTCCAAAACGAAAAAATAAACAAAATATCATCGTCAAGATGTAGAGTACGAAGCAGAATTTTTTGGATCATTTTAATATCGCCTGATTATTTTAGTAAAAAATTCCATTCTAGAATTATTTTTGTAAATGATATGAATTCTTTACCAATTCTGGTTTTTGATGATGGTTTTGGTTTTTCTTAATTTGGCGCCAATTATTATCATTTCTATTAAATCAAAATACTTTATTATTTTATCCCTTTATTATCCCTATTTTTGAATACATATGTTAACGTACAATAAAAGAAGTGTTGTGTGTTTTCGTTCAGTTTATGCGTGATGAAGAACACCAATTCCAAATGAATTTATTCAAAGATGATCATTGTGCTATCGTCGTCAATCAATTGGGCCAGATCAGCAGCACTCGTTGTTTCGGTGCTGAGCCCCTTGTGAATCTTCGACTGATGCAATTTCAAGTGGTATCTGGTGAAGAATCGCTTGCCACAGTGTTCGCATTCATGTTTCTTTTCTTCCGTATGGCGTTTCATGTGATTGCGATAGCTGGTCCGCGACTGCAACTTCTTATCACAGAGTTGACACTGTGTAAAAATGAAAGCATTCAGTTCGATTACTTTCTTTGTGCATGAAAATGATTAAAATGTATCAAAATCATTGGCATTTACCTCAAATGTCTTTCCGCTGATGTGTGAATCCATGTGAGCTGCACGCATGCTGCTGGTCTTGTAGGATTTATTGCAGATGGTGCACTGGAATGGTCGCTCATTCCTATCAGAAATGTGACGCATAAAATGTATTCAATTTATATACGATATGAACAATTTGATGAATTAGTATTAAATCAACTAACGTGTGTGATCGAGTATGAATGGTGAGTTCACCTTGCTGTTTAAAAGCCTTTCCGCACAGTTTACATTTGAACTTTTTCTCTTTCAGTGTTCGCAAATGTGTAATTAGGGCCTTTTTTGAGAAGAATTTTTTGTCTGAAAGAGAAAAAGAACGATATTTGTTTATGTTTTGTCATGTAAGAAATAAATTGCAACATTTGCCTACCGCATTCATAGCACTTGAATTTCTTTTCTTTGCAAAAGTGTTTGAGATGAGTTTGAAGGTCGTCGTATGTTTGGAATGCTTGGCTACAGTGTAAGCATTGCAAATTCTTGGTGTTGATGTGTTTGTTGAGCACATGAATGCTGAGCCGTGACATCTGATCATACTGGCAACCACACTCTTCGATCGGACACTCGAATTTGCTGGCATGCAAAATGACGTGGTACTTTAGTTCGTTAATTGTCTGATAAGACTGGCTGCACTCTCCACACGAATAAACTTCACCTTCTTTGAAATCCGATTGCTTTTCCTCATCCAAAAATTGATAGTCGGTGCACGATTCATCGACGATTTTTTCCGTTAAACCAGTTTTGCCACCCTTTCCTGGATGTACATTTGCATTGTGTTCATTTAGTCGATCTTTGGAAATGTAAAGCAGGCAACAATCGTGGCACGGGAAAAAGTCAAGGTAGTTAATAATCAAGCTCATCGAATCGTGCATTTTGTTATGTTGTCGCAACTGTGCCGTTGATTTCAATCGTTTGTTGCACGGTACACAAACCAATTCTTCGTCATTCATGTCCGTTGTCTCACAGTCGTGCTGCAGCAGCTGGTCTTCATCGTCAAAGAGTTTGTTACAACTTTCGCATTGGTATTCGGTTCCATCGTGCTCTCTACAATGCTGAATGTACTCATCTCTGTCGGCAAACTGTGTTGAACAAAGTGGACACTCGTAAAAATCGAGAGATTCGCTGCCACTGTGATCGAAATCGTAGTCATCGGTTACATCGACATCATTTTCATCCAGATCGCTGATTTCCGCCTTAAAAGACAGTTTTGGAGGAATTGATTTTTCCACTGGCGGTTGAGCGCGTTTTGCTTTCACCAACGTTTCCGTTTTCGCCTTTGATTTCGCGGCTGTACGAGCACGCAACGATCGAGTTGGCAGAGCTGTTGCCGCTGGTTCATCGTCCATCGATAACATGTCGTGTTCATCAATTTGAATGTTATCGGTGATTTCGGTTTCATTGCCACTCTCGCCCACATTTCCCATCGAATCAAAATCGTAAAATTCAATTTGTTGCTCTTTGGAATTCGGCTTAATAATTTTTGTCGATTGATTTTCCAATTCGTAGACGTCAACATCGTGATGCTCCTGTTGTGCATGTTGGATGAAAGTGCTTTCTGTATCAAATGTAGCCTCACACAATGAACAAGTGACCACCTCCTGAACAGCAGTCTCTTGTGCCGTGCTTGTTTCCGATGAGATCATCGAAATGAGCGATTGCTCGGTTCGTTTTGTCTTTTGTTTAAATGTATAAAAAGAAATGATTTGCTTCTTGCATTCGCTGCATATTTTGTTGGGCAATTTGTCATCGGCCGTAACCTAAAAAGATTTTGAACAAAACGGGTAATGAATGTGAAAAAAAAAACATCATCATATAGTTTTGAAAATGATCAATATCAACACATACGGTGATATCAACGGTAAATGCCAACATATCTGGAACCGATATAATGTAACCGTCTACTATTGAGTTTGAGAAAACATTCAACAAGTTCGGCGGCTGTGACAAACACAAACGACACACTTTCTTTGGATTTATATCCAATTCGTAATTTCCATCGATTATTTCCATTGAGTTTTCAGTCATTTTTCTTGGCTAAAATTCTAAGCTGGTTTTTCGTTTGTTGATTTCTCTTTTTTTTTTTTGCAATTTTGAACGTAGCGGGAATTAAACTGTGTTTCTGTATTTTCAATGAACGTTCGTATTGAATTTGCTTTTCATTTGACTGGAATTGAATAATCTCTGAACTGATGCGTTTAAAATGGATGCGCGTCTCACTGTATTTCATCGACTTCTGTCAAACGCACCTATTTTAATACATTTTTTTTTCTTCAGAAGACATTTGACGTTTCACTCTTTAGTACAACTCGTTTGATGATATTTTTTTAGTATGTCATTCAGTGGAGACGGTTAAAACAATGTGGATCGGGTTCATAGAGTATATTAAATCTGTTATATTTTCAACGTTAAATTAAAACCGTTTTTTTTTCTTTTTTTAATTTCAATTAAAAAAAATTATATATTGAAAATTTCCGAGAATAGAAATTGAGTACACAATTTAATGATTCCTTTTCAGTTCATCATCATACACTCACTCGTTTAAGGTTAAGTGGAGCTGGTGACAACCAAATTCAAAATCCAACAACGAAAGTCGATTGTTACAGAAAAATTCACTGAAATAGACTTCTTTATTTAAAATTTAAAATTTTTCAATATGAGTATTTTGGTAATAATTCTTCAAGTATCAAAATACAATTAATATTTAAAGAAATATGTAACGAAGATCACAGCAGTGAACGTAATTCATAAAATTAATCCAAATTGAATTGTGACTTCTGGAGAAGTACATTAAAAGTTGGAAAATTTGTTCTGATATACAAATCTATCCAGATATTATAAGAAAAAATTCATAATGTCATCGTTATCGATGAATTTAGCAAGATCACCATCATTCATAATTTGGTTGAGGTTATCATTGTTGTTGTCATGGATTTCGGCCTGAATATTAGACACGTTTTCCCTATGCACATTTGATTGATGCAATCGCATATGATAATTGGAGAAGAATTTCATGCCACAGTGTTCGCATTCATGTTTTTTTCCAACCCTATGACGCTTCATGTGACTACGATATGTTGCACGGGATTGTAAATTCGTGTTGCAGATTTGGCACTGTGTAGAAACAAACCCATTGAATTATTGACTATTTACTCTGCACAACAAATGAAACACTGTGCATATATCAAAACCATTATTGCCATTTACCTCAAATGTCTTTCCGCTGATGTGTGAATCCATATGAGATGTGAGCATGCTGCTGGTCTTGTAGGATTTATTGCAGATGGTGCACTGGAATGGTCGCTCATTCCTATCAGAAATGTTACGCATAAAATGTATTCAATTTATATACGATATGAACAAATTGGTAGCTACTATTGAATCGACTTACGTATGTGATCGGATGTGGATGGTGAGTTCACTTTGCTGTTTAAAAGCCTTGCCACATGTACTGCACTTGAATTTTTTTCCGTCAATGTTTTTCAAATGTTCAGCTAACGCTTTTTTCGAGAAGAATTTTTTATCTGCAAAACAAAATTCCAAATTAATTTATCCAATTGATCTATCTGATTGAACGGATCTACCACATTCAAAGCACTCAAATATCTTTGCTTTGCAAGAATTCCTGATGTGTGTCTGAAGATCATCGTATGACTCGAAAGATTGGTTGCAATGGAAGCAGATCTGGTGCTTCATGTTGATATGCTTTTTGGAAATATGATTGGTGAGACGTGCCAAATGCTTGTATTGACATCCACAATTTTCGATTGGACAGTCAAATTTGTTGGCATGACTGAGGACGTGACTTTTCAGCTTGCCCACAGTCGAGAATGATTTACTGCATTCTCCACAAGAGTACACTTTGAGTATCTTGGAGTCATTGAGAAATGTATAGTCTGAAGCGCATGACTTGTCAATGTTTTCTAATTCAATACTAGGGTGCGAGCTGGTGTTGTGTTCATTTAGCTTTTCGTTGGAAATGAAAAGTAGACAGCAATTGTGACACGCAAAGAAATCAAAATGCTTGATGATTAAACGCATTGTATGATGATTGAAGTCAATGAATTCGTTGTCATTTCCATCGTTGAACTCATCATCATCGTCATTGCTTTCAACGACATTTGCGAAGCAAACTTTCAATGCTACAGTTTCCAAACCTGATTTTTTGCTTGTCTTCTTTTCTGATCGTAGACGCTTTGTGTGAGAATTTTTTGGTTCCAAACAATTCCGGGCAGCACGACAACTACGACGCAATGTTCGCGTTGATTGCACTTGTGTTGAGTCTTTTTCGTCTTTTTCTTCCACAATCAATAAATCATGATGTTCAATGTTGAAAATAGGATTGGTAATAATTTCCGAATTATTGTTTGTTTCATCGCTGTTAGTTGCTTGAAACCTGCAAATTTCGACCGCTTTTTCTTTGACCGAACTTTCAATATCTTGTTCCACTTCAAAAACATCTAATTCGATCAGTTCGCTGTGTGAGCCGATCGCAAATTCCGTTGGTGTTGTGTCACCGGCATCCGCACCTTGAACAACGTCATTCGTGGGAGAATCAGTTTCGGGCAAAGACAATATGGAAAACAATGATTGTTCCAGTCTTTTAATTTTTTGCTTGAATGTGTAAAAAGCGACAGCTTGCTTTTGACAATCGTTACAAATGTGATGCGGCAACAACCTGTTGTTTATATTAACCTAAAAATTATTTCAATGTATCAAATAGTGAATCGACTGATATGCTAACGAAAAACAAAACACACGTACAGTTATATCAAATGTATATGCCAGCATATCAACAACTGATACGATGTAACCATCAACAATCAAACTTGAGAAAATATTGTGCATATCCAATGACTGTGACAAACATAATCGACACGACTTTTCTGGATTTATGATCAATGTATGATTACCAACAATTACTTCCATTTTTCTTTTTCAAATAATTCTTTCCCGAAATGTCGCTAGTATTTTTGTTATTTTTCAAGAGATTTAATCCATTTTTTTTTTTCAACGATGTATATCAAACATTTGCTCAATTGTCATTCATTTGAACAACCTTCAAACTAAAGTGTCTCAATGTAACTGTCACATGCACTCATTTCGTTTGCGCGTCTTCTTTATGTTTCAACGAAATCTGTCAGAGATGATACTGTGTGTGTGTGTTCTTGCCTGTGATTCAGCATAATGATTTGTAAACAACGTTCATTTGCACTGTTTATGATTTATTGAAACGAATGAAAATAAATTCTTGGAATTGATTGTCTGGAAAGCAAAGTGTCATCTCAAACCAATACAAACGAATAAAACACTGTTACATCGTCGTTTGCGAAGGGGAAAATAGAAAGTTTATTCGAAAAAAATTTATAAATCTTTTTACATTTTCTTTTTTATCAACATAGAAGTGTCAATATGTTAAGGATAGAATAAATAACTGCACATCAAATGGATTCAATTCAAAAAGAAGTGCAAAAGATATATTTTGAAGATCAAAGGGGATAACGCAACTAAGTGCGTTGTGTTGTGTGTGTGTGTGTGTGTGTGGGAATTTGTGGTTAAAAATTTAACCCGTTTTTGTGGGCAAATTTCCAGTTCCACGTGCTTCACGTTTAACAATGCGTGTCATCATCATTTTATCCGTATCTGGTGCCTGTTTTGGAACAAAAGATAAGGAGGAAAATGTCTTTCTCATGGCCAAATATTGTGTCTAAATCAAACTACTGCGGTTAATCAATCTGATCGTACAGCTGTTGGAGGGGCCGAGCGCGTTGCACGTGGTAATGGGATGCTATCAGCGCCTGGAATACCTTTGGTAAATCCGCTACCCTGAATGATTTGAAAGAATGTAATGATCTGAATGAAAGTAACCAAACCGAAACTATTTGCATACGATCGAATTTTTGATTACTCACTGCTTTTTGGAATGCACCGGGAAGACTGGATGGGTCTGGTACTCCGGGAATTGAAGGAATCGATGGCAATTGTCGGCGAACCTATCGATTACGAAGAGATACGAAACAAAAAATAATGAATACTTGCTCACAGTTTTGAAGAAAACAATAACAAACTTACTCGAATTGGAAGGCTTTCTGGTTCAACCTGAAATTCCATAAATGGAAAAAAGTTATTTTTTTTTAATACTATAAATGCAGCAGGTGAACGACATAAACACCAAAATAACGAAAAAAGATTCTTACTTGTTCAGGAGCACAACGAACGTTGGCAACTAAAACAAAGCCAATAAGCAAAATTGCAGCTAGAGTAAATCCTTTGGCGTTCATTTTCACAGTTTTATCACTTTGCTTAATTTTTTGTTATAGTTATCACGGGCTTATGTTATGCCGAAATCCAGCTTTTGAATCGGTTAAGAGCACAAAATGGACTAACAGTTCCGTTTGCATCAATGCTCTCTATTTATACGATTTGGATTTGGAATATATTATTGTTTTTGCGTTTCAATTCAACGTTTTTAATAGCCAAAACAATTGCAAATGCAAAGTGGAATTTTCTGTAGGAATCAACAATTCAATATTCAATATTCAAAGTAGTTTGCATGATCGGTAGACGTCCGTCGATATTTTTCGTATACAATTTTGCCAGTCAAAAACTAGCCGGATGAATATTTTACGAAATATTTTCGTGCAACTCGCAATGAAATATATCAAATCCAAGATGCTATCATTCCTCTCTGTTATTTATTGACTTATTAGAGAGTTCTGAATTTAATTGCATGCGAATTACGTAGCACACGCGTACCGTACACCATCAGTGTGTTGTATACGAAGTGAGGGAACGGTTTGCTTGAACGTAAGATGTTCGTTTGCACAAGGAAACAACGTTTGTTGCATTAGAAGAAATTTGATAGAGTAAACTGATGCTATCATCATCATTTTAATTACGCTACGAGCATTGGTTGAATTGCTTTCCGTGCGTTTTCTACATTCGAAAATGTTTCGTCAAAATCATGCTATCTTGCTATTGCAAGACAAGATAAAAGAAACTATTTGTTTCGATTTCATGTAAAGGGCAACTACTCAATCTCAACCATGTCTCAAACAGATTCATGCATTTGTAAAAACAGCACTAAAACTAAAACGGTTTGAGATCTATGCACTTTCATGCAACAATTTTGCATGTCGATGTTTGTTCGTGCAATTATTGCTATTGTTTTGGATTTTTCATTGTTAAGGTCTACATTTGACTCGTTTACATTTTGATTTTCCATCGCAAAACACCGCGCTAACACTGTGAGTTAATATTTTTCTTATGACGGTAGATTGAACTTGGTGTTTGTATGTTTTAGTTCTCATATTTATAATTGACTGTTAGCATTTTCGTCGAAATTAAATGGAGTAAATTCGTGTAAATTAGTGCCATTTCGAGCGGTTGGATTTCGAGGCGTTTCGTCGAGCATTGGAAGAAATTCCAATCATGAACGAGCAATTATTAATTGAAAATCACTTTTGCCATTATTAAATTCATTATTTTTCGTCATTAGTGCTGCTGCCGTTTGAATGGAAAATTTCAATTAAACTCAGTGGCAAAATATGAATAAACCCAGTCACGTTCGATTTTATGTGGAATAAACAAAATTGAGTTGTTTAGAAATTGTTGAATGGTTTTTTGAAATGGTATACAATTTGTTTGTAAATTATATGATGGGGTTTAATTGGCCACAACAAAGTCGTGTGCTGCTCGACTCAAATTGCTTCCAAGATTCGGAAGAAAATTTGCTTACCCTTCGCATCATTTTCCCGATATGATATGGAGCTCAATGTACATCCTGAAATCAATAACACAGAGACGTCAAAGAAGAAGACAAGACCATTTTCTAGAAAATTGATGTATTTAACTTTATTGGTTTTTTGTTCTTTTTAACATTTTATATTTCGTTATAAGTATTAATGAATTTGAACTAACAAAAATTAATGAATTCAAAGAACTCAATCATACACTTTAACCAAATACATATTTATCCTACATTTGAGAATCATATTTTAATAAACAAAATGTGTTAGTTTTTCCTTCTTTTTTTTCTCGATAGTTTATTACTTTTTGTTTTTAAATAAATCCGTTCTGATATATTTCATGTTTGTTATATTATGTTTTGTGTCGGGATTTGGAGCTAATTTATGTCTTTTTTAGTTTTCCTTAAAAAAAAAACAATGTTTTTTTATGCCCTACAAGTAAATTTTTTGTTGTTATTTCGTTTAATTTGTATTATGTACGATTCATGAGAAGCGTGTACCGCGTGTCTGGTTGATCTGAATTCCAACTGAAGAAATTCATCGAGAACCCACTTTATATTTTGCGCATTTTTCATTTGCTATACAATATGTTTATGTTTTGGCAGGGCCCAAAATCAGAGCAAATCACTTTTACTTAAATCATTTTTAAACCACTCATGCATAAATGCATGATTTCTAAAGATATTTTTTTTGTGTCAAACATTCAGAATTCAATGAAATGATGAAGCCAAAAATTTGTTAATTTCGTAAAATCATAAAAATCAAATGGAAAAAAACGTTTAGGCCCTGGAATGAATACGCTCACGTTTTTGTTCAACTGACATCGATATTTTTGCTTACGTACATTTGCTATAACATTCTGCCTATTTAGTTAATGAATGTTTTCGGGTAGAACGGTAAACTTGTTATTATTTGAGGGCCAAGAATGGGACCGTGTTAAGAAATCTATAATGGTATGTACGGTTTAAAAGTTTGTCTAATTTTATGCCATTACGTTTATTTAGAAATGTACTAGAGTTGAATTGGTCACAATTTCTTTGTCACTTCAATCACAATCACCGCGTGGATCATTTATACCTCATCGCTGTGCATTAGGCGCATGAAAATGAAACTTAAAACGAATATGTCGCAAACAGAACCGATCCAGTTAATTCTAATTCTCTACGTGCGCCGAAACGAAATTCATTTCAATTTCAAGTTTAAAAATCATCGCTTGTTTCGACGCATTGCGCGAGCAAACGTTTTGGCTATTTATTTTCTGGATTGAGTTCAAAGTATTTCGATTTTATTATGAGTTTTTCATTTAAATGAAGCTTTTCAGAGACAATTTGTTTTACGAACTTTTAATACACTCTACATTAATTCACTAATTGTTTTTTTCTCGAAAAACACTGTATATACAAACTGAGTTAATAATAATCAAGTGTCAACGTCCTATTCACTCCTCTATATATTCCGTTGCGATAATAAAAACGAAAAAACAAAAACTACTCCATTTGATATTTACACGTTGAATACACCAATTCCATAACAAAATATATATTTTTTTTAATATAACTCTTTCAATCGTATTATTATTTTTTTTATTCAAATCGAACAAACTCAAAGTGGTTCTCCATCATTCCGGCACGTAATATGGCCAAATTGGATTTGAAATTTATTTGAAATTTAATCTCATTTCTTATGTACACTGCTTTAGAATTTGATGTGAGAAAGTCTTTTCGCTGCCTGTCTAATGCCAAGCGGCATTTATTTATTATCTGATGGAAATATAATCTAAAACAACAAACTTTTGTTATTTCATGAGAAAAGTGTGTGTGTGTGTGCATTTAATAAAATTTGTAAACCATACGCTGCGTATCTCATTCAACCGTTTTAACTAATTACGCTAGTAATGTTAAAATTTGAACTTGTTGTGATTGAAATGAGAGAGAGAGAGAGAGAGAGAGAGAGAGAGAGATAGAGAGAGAGATAGAGATAGATAAAAAATCTGTATGAATATTATATAGCAATCGAATGATAAAGGTAAGGCAAACAAATTAAAACATTAACAGCAAAATGTCTCAATTTATTATGGCTAAAGAAGTCAACATTAGTTCAAAGGACAAATTCTTTTTCCTTGTTTTGGTTTATCATCATCAAATTTGAATACATAACAAAATTACGCTTAAGCTAAACGTGCTTCAAGCAGTAGGTCTTATAGTTCAAGTGTTTGTTTTGTGTGTCGAGTTGTGTGTCACGGTGATCACCATGGTTTCAATACATAAAACGAAGTAACTCAATAAGATTCGCATAGAAATGCCCCATTAGGTTTTCTTCTCTATTTCTGTTTCTTTGAAATGAATCATTCAAACCTAAAACTCGCATCTGCTTTACTGCACCACATGGTTCAAATGTTCATTTACTATGTATGGAAAAAGAATGGAGTCGAATAGTATTCTATATGTAGCAAATATCAGGCACCCTATTATTCTCTTTTGAACATTCTATCTTGTCGCCGCTACATATATACTAACACGTGTGTGTTTTTTGTGTTTGGTTAGTTCTTGTGTGTTTGCTAATGGTCAATTTAAGTGCTCTTTGAAGCGGTTTATACCAATGAATGGTGAGCTTGATGGTGGAGAAATGAAACTTGGATTTTGGTCAGCCATTAAACACCATCGCACAGCATTCAAGAAGATGAGCCTCTCAATGCCGTTTACAAATTGGAAATATGGGAAAATTTCTACTCAAGTAGGATAAACTATGTATTGTTATACAAAAATAGTGATATTTCCATCATTTCGTCATCAAAAACGAATTGGCATTATACCGTTTGGTTCAACTATCCCGTCATGCTATTCTGTTCTGTTTGTCCGCATCAAACTCATCACACCATTGGCATATGAAAAGTTTCCAAGGGAAAAACAAAAAAAATGGCCCTAAATCTAATTTCAAAACTTACAGTAACTATATATACTATGTATCATTAAATTAAATATATTGTACCTATGTGTAGGTCCTAGTACGCAATCCACAAATTAAATTCATAATGACAATTTCAATAGATCCGGTCATGGTATACTATTGCATCAATTCGTCATGGTGTGGTAGATTTGGTTTGATGTTTTGTCACATTTTCCATTTAATTTGCTAAATTGTAAAGCTTTGAACGCCCGCATGTGTGCTTAATGCACTTATATATATATAGTTATCATTCTTATCTTATCCATATGTATTATTATCTAGACTTTTTTTGTTTGTTAAGAAAGTCGCCTAAACTCTAATACCGTAATAGTTAATCTTAAAAACATACAGTTTTGTTTAAGCAATAACGAGTTTTCTTTGTGTATTTTTATTTTGTCAGATTGTTTGTCCTATTTTTATCTATGAATTTACATTTGTTTCTGTTGCTGTTGCATTTTCCATGTTCCATTCAGTTTCAGTATTTATTTTTCTCTGCATTGCAAAAATTCCAATTTGAGATAAATCACAATCACTTTTAAACAAGTTTTAAATTAATGAGAATGAACGCACGTCTTCTCGGCTATGTATTCGTTCTTGTTTTGCCCGTATGAGATAGCAAATATGTCGCACCGCTTCGATTTCGAATTCCAAAAGAAAACTCAGGTAAAAAAAAAAAATTGGAAATATCTACTGGATTTTTTTAAAATTTCATTTGTATTTGAAAAAATATAAACATTCCTTACAAATTAACGATTGCAAAAATTACTTAGCCATGCTTAATATGTACAGCATAGGCCGTCACAGTTCTGCCGCACAAGAGTTCCATATTTTTCGTTCTATTTCGATCGAAAAAAACAGCACCAATCACAAAAACCAAATCATTTTTTTTTTCGATTCTTTAAAAACGAATACTCTCAATTTTTTGTAATGCGAACAACTAAATTCGTTAGAATCGAATTCAAAATGCTCAATCGATCTTATGTTTGGATGTCACAAGAATTGTGTTCTGTTTCAAATGAAATTTCAAACCGTTCGATTTGGTAGACGTTGATTATGAAAAAAAATTATAGCCATTATGAGCCCATATGAAATGGTAATTTACCTGTCGCATGACAAACAAACCGTTCTAGCTCTCTAATATCTTATTTTATTGTACTGTTGGAAATCATATCTGAGAATGACATGTATTTGCTTGCAAACAAAACTTTATACTGTATGAGGATTGGATTTGCTGAAAATTGCATCTCTATTCGAATCGTATAAGCGTGTGTGACGTTATTTAGAAAAAAAAATTAAAATATTGTTACGAAGACTATTTGGTCTGTCCTATGTCAATATTATTCGAAGTGAACTTTCGCTATATGTGTCTTTAGATTATTAATTGCACTAAGTGTATCATCATTTTGCCTACGAGAAATCCAGTTCTATCTCTATTCAGTATAAATATGTGAATATGAATTAAATGTATTCAGTAGTTGTATTATACAATAGAATTTCGATACGGTAGATTTGGTCTTTGAAGTTGCTATTTTTAGGAGGCTTTGTTCATTCATTTGTTATAATAATCATCTAAATGAATCTACAACGCATGCACGTTCGTTCGTTAAAATGTTTCTCTGACAAATATTTGCATGTTAGTTTCCATACACACACACACGTCAGTGTTAATGATGTTTGCAATGGACAGCTACTGTAATGGAATTTAAAGCGATTTTCTGTTTTATTTCGTTGAAATTCTTATCAACTATTGCAGACACTATTCGAGATTCAATTTAGTTTAGCTTCAGTTTTTATTGAAATTATAAACAGTACGTTTCTTCTGGGAATACTTCGAGTAAGTTTGTTCGTTATTTGTTGAGATTTATATGCTTTTTTGTGTGATAGTTAGTTTTGTTTTGTTTTGATCTCTGCGTTACTTTTAAGTCTGTTTATGAGCGATGTTTTTTTTTTCTTATCGATGAACAATTTTTCGTATAAAACGTCGTTTTTTCCATTATAGAATCGACAGTAGAATATATTGGCGTTTCAATGTTATTATGTTGAGCCACAGTAGTTTTGTTTATGCAATAAGTGAAACCGATCTTTCTTGAATACGATAGATTTTTTTTAAGGTTTTTTTTTCAACTATTCGTTTTATTGTGTTACTTTTAGAAGATATTTTTGTGTGAACGTCTTAGTTGTTTTCTCTTATTTGAAGGACAAAAATCGAAAAACTACCAAATTCAGTTGGATATGAATCAAATCATAGAGTAGATTGAGAAAATATTTTTGAAACCTGTTGCTATTTTGGAATTTCGATAATTGCATTGCATGCATTGCGATTGATTTTATACACATCTTCAAAATGGTAACTGATTTCAAAATTATTCATGACAAAACTATGGTTCTATGTTTACTATGTTCAGCTCGACAGTTGATCGAGAGTAAGAAACCGGTTGGCTCCAATAAAATGTTCGCGCTAGCATCTAACCAATACGGGCAAATGGGCTTTCAAATCTTACATGGTAATATCGAAAAGAAACTGTTCTACGAAGTGTAAATAACATTGGAAAAAAATAGGGGAAAATGTTGTTTTTATTTGATAAAGCTTTAGGTTTTCTCTTTTTATGTATATTAATTTTCTCTGGCAATTTTCAATAGGGTGGCCAAAGTTCATCACGTGATCCGTGTTTGTTTGTGTAAGGTGGGGAATGGTGATGTCATTCACACGGCCAATATTAATAATAATTAATCAAGTTCTATCATATCGATTGTGGAATAATGAGTTTTGAACATTACGATACGATCGAATAAATGTTTTTTTTTTTTTTAGTCAAAAGGTCAACAATGTATTTTTAAAAATGAAACAGGGCTAAAACAATTTCTTTTGTCCATTCTTCTTTCGGTTTAAATAATTATGATACATGAATTTATTGTGTGTGTGTGTGTTTTTTTTTAAATTATAATCGATTATAAAGATTTAACTAGGTAATAAGGCTACAAATTTCATCATTCCCTTTCTCTACTGTGTTTTCCAACGTTTCACTACGAGATTCGAGCTCATTTGTTTTTCCTTGAATGTTTGTGTACATGTGTGTTTTATATGAATTGTCTAATATAATAGTAGTAAATAAGTCAGTTGATGCAAATATTTTCCTATTGATATTTGTTATACTTTTATACTCTTCATTCTTGTATCAATGATGAAATCATAATTTTTCATTTGTGTGCATTAGATTCATTGTTTTGTGGTTCTTTTTACAGTAGTTTTGTTAGTTTATTTTCTCATTAATTTTAAAAAGTAATACATAACTACTTTTAAAGTCTAGAAATCTATGGTTCTATTACTAATGTTTATTCATAAAAAGAGACATTTCTGATCAATTCGATTTGATATCTCTTGCGCTTTTGCGAATCTTTGCACCGACAAATTCGGTGATGATTTTTTTTTTATCACTTGAAACGGACGGTGCAAATATTCGCAAAATCATTGAATTTATTAAATTTAAAAGATTTTATTTTTATTTTCAGATATAATTTGTCATTTTTTGTTACAGATTTTTTTTTTCTCTTCAGAACGGTCAATCTTCGATCACAGCCGAACAAAAGCATCTTTGCTAACTGGATTGGTGAACGCTTCATTTTTAAAATCTTTCAGCTCGCCAAATCGTTCATCACAGGAAATGAATGAATCATCAATCACTTACGAAAATCACAATGAGAATCAAAATAGAACTCACGAAAGGGAACTCTCCCATTCGAGTCGAATGCGAAGAGTGTGTGAGAGAGAGAAAGAGAGAGGGAATATTACATTGACATTAGAACAAAAGAGAAACGAGAATGCAAAATGTTCCAATAATTAGGTATTGGTGGATTTTTTTTTAAACGCGTGTGACGCGAATACGTTTCTTCGAATATTTGTTATTCTGTTCGGTTGAAGTGTTTGAAGATGCTGTGCTCGAAGATTGCCGTCGAAGCTCCATTCAGCTATTTGTTCGATTCGATGTTACGTTTATTGAGCTATTTGCCGTTGTTCCGCTACTACTATTGCCAATCGATGTGTTTGATGCACTCGTTACTATTGTACCCTCGAAACTATTAGCGCTTGTATTAATCGCACTATTGTTGTTACTATTATTATTGTTATTATTATTATTGTTGCTATTGTTGGTGCCGCTTGCGTTGTTCGCAGTGCTGGTGCTTGTTTCGTTCGCATAATTTACAGTGGTCAATGGGGTTGTTGTTGTTGTAGCTGATGTTGCGATTATCGAACTAGTACTGCTAGTTGGAACATATGTTTCTGGCACTAAGTGAGGCGTTCGACTTGATATTGGCGGTAAAATTGGACTTGATGGCCATTGATATGAGGGTGTCGTCACTGCTGCCGGGACACTTCTTTGCGAACGCACAAAAACGATCCGTATTCCAATAGAAACGTCACAAACACAAAATTGCACAAAACAGGGGAAAAATAGAACAGAAAAAAAAAACGTATTAATGACTCATCTAGGAAGAGAATTTATTAAATTCGCAAGACAAAGAAAATTGAGTAGATAGTGTGTGTGTCCAGTGAAAGAGATAGAGAGAAATATATTTTAAGCGTTTTTTTTTATATCTACTTTGTTTCTTTTGATTTCAAATCAACATCGCTGCTGATAACCGTTCAAACCATTCGTTTCAACGCGCTCAAACTAATAAATATCCACTATTAATGGGTATCATTCGATCAATAAATCTTTCATTTTTCGGATTTTCAAGTATTTAAACGCAATGCAATGCTACCATGCAATGAACGAGACAAAAAAGTGCTTCAATATTTCACTGTCATCGATCCGTAAATGTTTGGTTTCGAATATAAGCGTGCCCCATCGAATAAAAGCTTTACTCTATACATTCATTCGTTCACCGTTTGTTGCGATGCCATTGAAAAAGAGAACAAAATAAAACACACGATGGCCTATTTGAATCTAATATTCAACCGATTGAAAAGAGTACGTCCTATTCCTCTCTAATTACGTTTTCGATTGCCCCGTATAATCGGATTAAAGTATTTCGGTCTATTTATTCTGGAACTCCCCCGAATGAAAAAGAACATGTGTAAATCATTGATTCCAAAGCCTTTTTGTACACGAAACATCAAAGATCCATTTGGTTTATCAAGACTCAAGAGCCATCAAAATGAATGAAAAATGTCGCCGAAAGGTCAACAATTCTTTTTTTTTCTTCTGTGCGCTCAATTGCAGTCATGAATAATAATGCGCCAAAATAAAGTGAACAGCACCTTAATTGTCAATGTGCTGACATGCAAAAATAAATTGGCCACACAAAAGTAAATACTTATATTGGCCGCACGCGACATATAATATATTAATTATGCTGTCTATGACATCGATACTTTTCAGACACGGCAGCTGTGCAATACCGTGTTTTTTTTTTTGCTGAATTTGTTCCAAAGATTGGCTGCGATTTTTCAATTTTATTCGAGCGTACACATTTCATTTTATTGGCGTGCTTTATATGGGTTGGTCACACTGAGGTCAACAAATGAGGCGATTTTTTCTTTCTTTTTTTCCTGCGGAAATCCTATGAACATACATTGGACTTTCTATAGAGGAAAAAAAACAACATAAAATCAATGAAGCAGCTGACAATATCTAACTGGATTTTGATGAAAAATCATTTTCAATGGAGAGCCTGCGACTGAGAGAGTGGAACGCCTAGCGTGATCGCATTTTGCGTTAGCCGCATTATTTGTTCAGGTCATTTCAAAGCTGATTTTTCATCATTTTTATTGCTCATAGAATGGATTATGTCCTCTTTTTCTGCATTGGCCATTGTGCACACATTTTTGCCCATTGTTCTGCTCTAGTGGTGTTTGTCATAAGTCGATATGATTGCACACTGATACAACATAAATCCAATTAGAGCAACTGGAGGCCAACAGAAAATGTCATGAAATGAAACGAAACGAGAAATATGCGCCCAATCTTGATTGATTCGTTTTGCTTTTAAAAATTAAAACAACGCTTCATTCCAATGGGGGAGAATGAAATTATTAAATTGGTCATTGAACGATTGAATAACTGAAACAATAAGTTAATTGATTTGCCCGAGAAAATTGACCAGATTCGAATTGTATTCAAACGGTGTATTCTGTTTGATGTAGATGTTTTTTTTTATAATTTCATTACAAAAGAGAAAGAGATTGTTTAGTACAAATAGCTTGGGGTTTTCAGGGGAGTTTGTGCCAGTGCCTTTTCAACCGGAAAGTTTTTAGCTCAGAGCTAAACTTGAGTTGATTTCAGCTTTGATTTCAGTCTCAGTGGGTATCGGAACGATATATAAGCCGATTATTATCGTACTTAGTAGTAGTTCAAAAAGAAACAAGAAACAAAAGAAAAACACAACTGGAGAGCTGAACATATAATTCAATTTAATTTGTATTATATTTCGTTAAAACACAATGCTCGACCCGGCTTATCGATCGAAAACTGGAACTGCTGTTGTATCTTTAACACAGTCTAGTTTCGATTGCATCATTTACAGTTTATTTTCGGTTTTACTTTGAAATGCATGGCATGAATAATAGAAGACCTGTATCAAGGACACTAGTGCATTGCACTTGAGTTCTTTTCATTCTTTTATTTCTCTCTTTCTCTTCTTTCTCTATCTCTGTTTGAATTCTTCATGTTTTTTCCCCCCTCAAAATTCATTCAACCTCATTGATGTGAGTATTTAAAAGCCAATATCATTTAGCCATTACAAGCCCCATTAATTTCACTTGCAAATTAGCTTCAACGATACGCTTCTGTCTATCTATCTGTATACGCAGCACAGAAATAGACAAGAGTCATTCGCCCCATCTCAATGACTTTGGTAGCTGCATATACTTTCGAAATATGCTAATCATTTGCTGCCATAAGGTCGAACATAGTGTGTATACCAGGTATATCTTATTTTATGTTCATTGTCAAGGTGCATCAAGCCTACAATGTTCGAATAAGTGTGCGGGACAAAAATCAAGAATAGAAGATTACACACAACGAAAATAAACAACCACACAAGGAAATAAAAATAAACGAAAATTGCACTAAATACAAGTATTAATTCGCTTATCCATTAATTAGTGCAAGCAATATAAATGGGTATGTGCTTTTTGTGCAAAAATCCGAAGGTATTTAATAATCGAAAATAAATTGAGAATCATTTTCAGCTTTACCTAAACTGATTTTTGTGACTTGCTTCTATTTACTTTGGTGGATTTTTGTTCAATAGCATCCATTTACTCCATTCACATTTTGAGCATTTATTTAATTTGGTACATTATTTGTTGGTTATCTATTTTTGATCTATGTGTGGGGTCACACGATGGATTACTTCACATCCAATGCCATACATTTTTTTCTGTTATTTTTGTTTTTTGTTTGTGTGGTAATTTGTCTAAAGAAATGCTTGTTTTTGAGTACTTTTTTGCTCATCATTCTATCAGCAAAATTGTATCCTAAAAATCAAGTGAACAATTGGTTGTTTTAATACTGTTAGAAACGCATGAACGGTTAAAAGACAAAAAGTGTTTTTTTTTTATCCGAGGGAGAAAACAAGAAATTACGAGCGAATTGTATGAATGAAGTGGCATGAACAATGGAAATTAATAGAGCAAGTAACTATAGTAGAAAATGAGTGTGCGAGTGCATATTGCGGCTGATGCACTCAATGTCCGTGCGAATTTGCTGCTGGTGCTACGCGTAAAGCCATTTAAAACTATAATATTGCAATTTGTAATCCGGCTTGCGAACGAATTCAGGCTTCATGTTTATTTCTATTTTTTTTCAACTTTCATTTGTTACAGTTTCTACTGCTGCTTTTGCTTTCGAATGGTGGATAGGAGTGGACGTAGTGAGCGCTCTGTTGTAACTGAAGCTTGACAGAATGTGAAACAAAGTCAAGCGAACAAAAAAAATGCTTAAATAAATCTTTGAATTTCACTCGGGCAATGTGCTTTATTTACGTGCCATGTGTTGCTGGTATTAAATTAACTTGAAACAATGAAAATAAATCCCTAGATAACATTTTATTTGTGGAAGCTAGTGGAGAATCACACAGCAATTTATTTGGCTGGGGTTGAATGTGCAAAAATTCATTTTGGTTTTCACTTGTCACCAACAATTACAGCATACATTCTGTGGGCTCACTACGTTAATTTATTTCATAAATATCAACGCGCCGTAAAACATGGCAATCTCCCACCTCGCTCTATCCATTTTGCTCGTCTCCATTGCTGTACCGAATATCGAGACTGTGTGAGTGTAATTTCAAAATGCTCATGTACTACAAATATTTTACCGAGTCAATTGTGAAAGATGTTTCGAAAACTAACATCTTACATTGCAATACGAGCGCATTTAGTCCGACTGACTTATTCATAGCGGGAGAGCGCCTCAGTTCTGGCAAAATTAAATTAGTATATCTTCAGTACTTATTGGGTTTCATTGAAGATTAATGTTTTGCCTCGCACATTGTCCAGACCATAAATTGAGAGAATGAGGTAACAGGGAGTGTTTGTGCAAGAAATCTTCAAGAATTTTTGTTTTCTAAAGAAATATTGTTATGACTCCCTTGTTCGCTTTCATACAACCTATCTGTTCGACGAACTATTTCACTTCACGTTTACGTTCGAATTGAGCAAATATTGTGGAACCAATTAAAGGCGCTCACTCATATACTTTTTTGTTTCTCATCAACAAGAACTCTAATTGCTACGTGCTCCATGTTATTTTCTACAAACAATCATGTGATACATCTAAGATTACGGATTGGATTTAGTGACATTCGGAAAATCCCACTTGGTAATTCGAATGTCCGTTAGGGTTTGTTAAGTAGTTTCTTCATTTTGCGTAAATTAATCCATTATTTGGTTTTTATCTTCTTCTTGGGGTTCAATAGTTTCATGTTTCATTTATATTAATAGAGGTGACTCGGCCAATTTAATATTACATAAATTCATGTGGATACCAGACAAGTTTTGCGCCGTTGGTTGGAGAGTGTATTTGGTTCAGCGAACCGAGAGGAATCCGATAGTTGATTGCGCATTCAAGTGCGACTGAGCACGTTTTGAATGTCTAATTAAAATCTGTCGCATTTTCACCACAAATTTGTTTCGACGGACATTTGATCCCAATTCAAATCCCCTCTAAATAAAATCTAAGTACCACTGACGTTTATTTTCACAAAATGTAACAATTTTGTTGTGTTGAAACATTTCGCACTAGCATTTGAAACGCGACATTTGAAAACTGAATTAACATTTTAACTGCATTTGACTTGATTTATATAATTTATTTCTGTTTTGAACTATGATTGCCCATTCGAAAATCCAATGTAAATAACTGTAATATATGCGCATTTATTTGGGAGATATGTTTGCTTGCATCTCTACAATCCCGTGGATTTTCGCGAGTTGCAGCGTTAGTAATTGAATAAATCGATTGAAATTGAAACAAATAAAATCGATCCCGTTGATTTCGAGCATGAAACATGTTTGAATATGCAAATGTAAGAATTCGTTATTTTTCTTCTTCATTTTTTTCTTCTATTCAATGTCAAAATCAATTCCAATCATTTCCTTTTTTCCACTGCAGTTCGGTAAATGTGTTTCTCCAGTGCATGTGAAGGAGCACTGGTGAACAGCAACCGCAAAAAAAAAAATCAATGTGGCATTCGTTTTTAATTTGGTTTGATGTTTTGTTGCGGTACTTATCGATTTATTTTTAACGTCGGTATTTTATCGACGTCGCTCATCAATATACATGGCAAGTTATGCAAATTGCTCACACAAAATCGACGAAACGTTTGTTGTTTTCAAGTGAAAAATTTAATCCAATATTGGATTTATGTCTGTGTCTCGGCGTCTGTGTTGGAAATGCCAGTGAGTGTGTGCATTCACATAAGTGCTTGTCAGTAGTTTGCATGTCATGCGTAAATGATGTAGTTTGCAAATGTTCGAAATGGTGCTTTATTTATTTAACAAAATGAAAACATTCCGACATTTTTAAAGGAGCTTATTGTAAGTAGCGGCCTTCTGCAGAATATAATCTCTTGGAAGCTTTCTCTCTCTCTTCCTCCCACTCATTCTTATCAGAATGGAAATCATCTTAATGTCATTTTCTAGAACACAATTGATGGAGGAGGATATCAACGATTGCATCCTTTTTTACTTCGAATTACGGGGCAAAATAATGTAAAACGCAAGCCATTACAGAAAACGGCATTTTATCACGTTGACCGAACTCATAGTGCAAAAAGAGAATTTCGTGTGTCAAGACCGAAAACTGCTGCCGTAATGGAGTCATGTATGAATGCTTGGTGAATTTTCGAGATATGTCCAGTTCGGGCATGTTTGAATCCTTTTTATAATAATTATAATAAGATGGCCTGTCAACCTTGTGCGAAATGCACATCAAGCGATTGCAAATGATTGCTGAACAAAAGACACAAATCGAATTTTGATAAAGAGTTATAAGTTGTCAGTAGTTATTGACAGTGGTGCAAGCAGCTGTACCCAAGTTGGATTAAATGCTTGACGACAATGTTTTTTTTCCTTCAAATGAATCCGTTATTTCGTGAATGTTTGTGCTCAATTGTGTAAGTGTATGTGTGTGTGTGTGTGTGTGCAGTGTTGTTGATGAAACCGGGAAAGCACGCATATCCTGAGAGCTAATATGGAATCAACGATCCGACAAAGGGATCAACGAAAATGATTTTCATATTTTCGTTGAATAGTTCGAAAAATGGGTCAGAAGATTTAAAACTGTCAATCAAAAATATTAAATCCGTAATTTTGAATAATTCAATCCGGCGCTTTGACGTTCGTGTACATGATGTATATGCATTACGGTGCAGAAATCGAAACCAAACGAAGAGATAGAGAACGAACGAACGAACAAAACCAATGAACACAGAATAGAACCAAAAAAAAACAATGAAATTATTTCAAAGTTGATATGTAAGCTTATTGCACTGTCAAAAGCGACCGAAGTGAGTGCTATGTTTATGAATGTAATGTCGAATTTATCTATCGAAATAAGTGAATATGAATAGTGGCCGGTTGTATTTGATTTGTTTTATTGTTGTGATATAGCGATTGAAAGTGACTTGGTTTTTTTGTTTGCTGTGGTGCCTGGTTCATTTTGCTTACCTTGAATGTGGAATTAATAATGGAGAGCCGATCGATGGCGGGGGTATTGTTGGTGTTGGCAAAAGTGTTGCATTGCTTACCGCTGCTGTGTCTGGATGCAGAAAATTCCGTCGGTGTTCGACACGGTCTTGATGTTGCGTCAAACATCGCGTTATGATATCAGGAAGCGCTTCCAATCGTTCCTAATCGAATATAATTCATTCATCATTTGAGTTTGCAACAAGCAATTTGAATTCATACAACGCGAGAAAAGAATCAAATGGGAATGTATACATAAATTGTATTGACAGAAGAAGCTTCAAAAGAAGAAAGATAGTTTAGCTACAGTTTTCCCTTTGAACGATTCTCGAATATACGAAGGGCAGTGAACTGAACTGTATACGCTTTGAATACAAAAATTCATAAAATTGAAAATGAACGACCGAACATGGGTCAAGTGTTGCGAATAATAATTTCCTACACGCATTCGAGTGAAATATGCATGTTACGCTGTATCAAAACCGCGCCAACAAATATACAAATAGCATCTCGCAAACGGACAACTGGCATCAAGTTTGTTGAATACAAATTCAAGTGTACTTCGAGTGTATTGCTTGTGACTTGCCAACCAAATGCACTCGCATTTATTCAGACACATTTTGTATATCTACGAATTGCATTTTATGCAAAAGATATTTTTTTCATGAATAACTTTCACATTTCGCAACAGACTCGCTCTATCTTCCTACTCTTTTGCTGCTTGAGTGAAATTGAAGCGCAACACATAACACACCAAACTTTTTGTTGAAAATTCCATTTTTCAGCAAGAGTTTATGCGTTCTATGTCTGTTAAACTGGAGCTTAACGACAAAAAATAGATGTTAAATTCATCGTGATTGTGCATCTCTTGAGATTTCTGGCACTAAATTTGTAATCTCTTCTCTTTGATTTTCCAACGATTTGTTATTGAAATCATTGGAAAAGAAATGAATAAATTACGATGGTTAATATTATGGTGTGTTTTTTTACTTCGTTCTTCTGTCTGGGCACTTCGAGTGAGTTTTCAGTTTAGATAAATTTATGCACTCACCTGAAGTGTTTGAATCTTATCTTCTAGGTTAGTTAGCCGCTCCTCTACGGCGTCTTGCCTGGTTGACATGTCGGATACGAGTTCATAAACATTATTTTGTATCTGTTGAGTAGTTTAGAAAGAAAAATGGGTCAAAAAATAACTTTCTAGGACATGATAATTGCATTCGCTTACCTTTGCCATATCACTTATAGTGTTTGCATTATCATTCAGCTTTCTTTGTTCCATTTTCACTTTTCGCAAGCTTTTTTTTGTCAGGAAATTAAAAACATTCAGCACATTTTTGCATTTTCGGAAGGGAAACAATTGTTTGTTGTTGTTTACTTACGCATAGATTGCCAACAAGAATTTTCTCTGATGCGCTCGAACTCGTCCGGGGTTCATTCGCTTCACTAACCTCGTATGTTTGTAAATGAGCCAAGTTTCTCTCAGTACATTTGCCGCTGCATTTTTGAGCTGCTCGGATTACATAACATTCGGTGTGTGAGTTTTTTTTTGTTCGATTTGAAACCAAAAGAAAAGTCATGACTTTAAAATATGTACATTTGTTCAAATGGTAATTTTTGTAATATATTCAACTGTGACATTTATATTACAAACTTTGGTGAATTCCATTAAATTTTCAAATGGATAAAAATCGTATGTGACCGCACACTAATACCTCTACAAAATGTGTGGCCAGAGTAGCTAACCGAAGTCAATCCCTTTTCGAATAGTAGATGAATCGGCAATTGATCGACCGCATTCGAAACCCAAAGAAATGCATCCATCTTTGAGTAACAATGAGGGTCAATACATATTTATCGGCCAGAAAACCATAATTCCTCTCACTCGGGAGACCTTTTTCACAACTTTATTTTAACAAAACGATTTTTGTTTTCGTTTATCAACCGAACATCGAATGCCGTTCGAGTGGGATTGTGTGTTTATGTGTTTGCAATTGGTTTTCAGTTTAAAGTTTGTCAACCAAACCGTACTTAGAATTCTTTGTTGAATGTTCGTTTGTATCGATTGACGTCATCATTTGACGACCACTTGATATTTGACTCATTCAAGCAGAATGCATACAAGCGTCTTGTTAATTGAAGAAAATTGCGTCTGCATGTGGTAGTTTGGCGATTTATTTGGTCCGATTAAAGCAGACAACCATTGTGAATTCTTCGTAAAAGATGGAAAAAGTTTAATCGAATCGATTTGTGTGTTGGCATTGTTTATTGATCTACGGTTGTATTAAGATGCATGTGTATGTGTGTGCTTGTCGAACATTTACAAAGTATACTTGAATAATTTCGAACCAGCAACACAATAATTTCCATTTTTTGATCAATTATTCAAATGTGCATTTGGCTGATTACAAACAATGAAGCCACCGAAGATGTGTATATGTATGCGCTGCATAGCGCGTTATTCGCCGTGCTCATCGATGAAACGAATGAGGAGCGAAAACGAACAGAAAATAATCGATAGAAACACTAAAAAAAAAAACAAATTATGCGAATGAATAAAAAATTTGTACATTTTGCCCTATTTATATATATATTGACGGCATTTGGTCATTTGAATCGATTTTATTTCCCATCAATCGTATTACCTTGATGAACTATTTTTGAAGTTTGATAGATTACACCAATGATAAGAGTATCGTACGTCGATTGGCTTTCTATTGGCTTTCTATTGGGTACTACTGTATTAATAAATAAATAACCTTTCCCAATAATAAAATACTGCAGAAATGTATGAGGCTTTAGGCAGATTGTCAATTGCTGATTCATTGAAAAAATGAACATACGATGAAATTGACGACTAATTTCTTTGATGTGAATTAAAATCCACCATACCACCCTAATAGAATGAAATTTATCCATTCCTATTTCAAAATGTGATACAGATAAACGATTGTTGTGTTTACTTGTTTGATCACACTTACCCGTTTGGTCAACTGTGTATCCATCATGAAATTGTGCACGTGCTTTTCGGCACGACTCAATTCCAATTTCCGTGACACCACTGCCACCAGCAGAGCCGTACAACCTGCTCCCTGAAATTTTTTTTAAAAATATTGCCAATCATTTCACCAGCACAAAGAAACTAGCGGTAGGCATGAATGAACATTTCGAAAATCTCTGTAATATTCTGATTTCTTCTGAATTGCAACGTCGCCTCTCAACGTTTCATATAAAATGATATTCAATTCGGTACAATGCATGCAAGACATTGTGAAATTGTAGATGATAATAATGACCTTGCTACGGAACATTTTCTTGTTACGGGAGAGACAAGAAATCAGTATATTGAGTTCGAATCATTCATGTCATTTGGAATTTGATTATTATTGGCATTGTGGAAAATGTTCGCATTTTGAAAATATGTGACAAAAGGAACGAAATAAATCTCTTGCTCAACGTGTCTCCATTAGTCAAACACCATTTATGGTATCCATACATTCGGTTCAGGAAATTGAAATGCAATATTGTGTCTCACATCATCGTGTTGTTGTTCAATAATAATAATAATAGAAAATTTTCATGTTGTAAAACGCCTTTGTTCCGGCAATTGGCTTATGCGAGTACTTCACAGATTTATTCCAACATATATGACACTTTTGTCGAATTCGATTATTTTCCTCGTCAATAAACCGATCCACTTTCCATCCTCGGGCATGCTCAGTTTTCAACAGCTTTCCATAAGTTTATCCTTTCGATTGCACAAAATTCCTGAAATATGCTATGCATTTATGTCGTAAAATTCTGTTGACGTATTATTAATCGTATTGCTGTCAGTCTACAGTATCTGAATCACGCTGCAAATCGTCTGTTGTTTGACACATCTTTGTATTTAGTTCATTTTTCAGGCAGAATACAGCGGGACCGAAGCGAGTTAATGTTAAACAAGTTTTTGCAAATTTGATTCTTCTGTGCTGTGCCTTGCCGTGCAGCTCATTCATTATTATGGAAGCACGCGATCTGAGCTGAAGCATCGAACATATGAACACATTTATGTTGCTGCTGTTTTAGCTACTCAAATCGAGCGCACACTCTACAACATACAACGAACATCTCGACTTACTTTCGACATTGTTTAATAAGTGATGAAGGCAACAACGACCGAATGTCGGTCGGCCGCCTGAAAATCATATGGCGACGGAGAGCAAACAAAAGAAAATCCCCATAAATAATTGATCACGAGCAAATTTGGCTAGTAATAAGCAATATTACAAGCATTAACATTCATTGTTTGTATAAAAGCTGATATAAATAGACGGGCATTTCGGAAGTTGCTTCCTCTCATCAGTGTGAAATGAACATTAGGCTGGGGGGGAAATTAAATAATAAATTTAATCATACTGAGAAACACGAATTATTTAAACAAAGTACATAACAAATGGTCCGGCATGCGCATTCATGTCCATGGCATGCCGACAATGCAGCGAGAGCTCTGTGCGATCGATGCTTCTTCAATAGTTTGATGGAGTGTGATATGATTGCGATTAAGCACGCAATCATATTGCCCGTTCCATAGGACCAAGACCAAAAAAAAAAAAAAACAGAACAATGATAGGAATCGATGGTTTATCTCATTAAAAGTAACGAGAAATATTGCTTTTCTGAAAATTGCTTCGCTCTGAGCTTTTCATTTTGATTGTTTTTATAACTTTCACTTGATTGAACACATCGACTGGGAATAAATACGAGCAAATTTTACAATACTGCACACACACGAAGCAAAAGGCCAGGCAAAACAAGAAGATTGTGTACGATAAGTCAATTCGGCGTCAACTGACCTATCGAGTCGAAAAATGCAATATCATTTGAATCACGTACACGGTGCCCGTTGCGGTAGTTCAACAGATTTGTTTGTGACTGAGATGAGATGTGAGACGGCAATCAATTTTTCTGTTCAGGCATTTTGTATCCATTCGGCTGCCGAACCAGATCTCGTATTCAAATACGAAGCGTAGTTTTGTGCAATCAAATCCGGGACAATGTGTTGAACTGTGAAGTTGAATTAAAACACAAATCACCGTATGCTGCCAATGAAATATCGCCACTCACGAGTGTCCATGTAACCATGGTAAATTTTGCATGACGTTGGCCCAACGCAAACATCACGTTTGATTTCTTTCACGCAGTGTGGATGGTCAATTGGTTTCTCCATTTGTGTGTTTTGCGACCTAATCTTTGGCACAAAAACTGGCTGCGTCAAATGGCCGCTCCCGCTTTGGTTGCTAACAACATATCTCTGCAATGTGTTGTTTACACGGAAACTACAGCATTCTAAATTATTTACATTGATTTTGGGAACCATTTCCTTTTCTATGTAGAGTTTGAGAGATTGAATGAGATTCATTGTCGATATGCAGGCCCGAAGATAAATTATTCTCTCGTCTGCTCATCCTTCCTCGACGCCTTGATCATCGTGTGCGTATATGGCGTTGTTTGCTGTTTGTTCAATGGGTTTCGTATATCTAATTCCACTCATCTGTCAATGCCATATACGGTTCTTTGCTGTTCTTCTTCCGTCTCAGCTCCAAAAATGACAAATATTATTTACCAACGTTTTTCGATCGCTGGTGATTTAGTTTCGCTAAACTTCCGTTGCTGCTGTTGATTATCTTGGGTTTGGGATTTGATTTTCTTTATATTGTTTTTTTTTTCGTTTTTTTTTCTGTGTTCATCCTCGTCTCGGATCCCACTCTATTTTTTTTTTAGCCATATGAATAATTGATGTGGTTAAAACTTACCATTATTCCAGTAGATACAGCGATGCCACGGCCGCAATAAGTGTTCGGTACAATATCTCCGAAGCCAACGCTCAAAAATGTAATAGCAATCAGCCTTTATGGCCAAAGACAAATGAAACGCACGGAAAATTCGATATCAATATTATTTTGTGTTTGGTTTTTGTTTGTGGTATTGAAAGGGAAAATAGTTTGTATGAAAGCGAAACATGGCTATGCCATGGCATTTAAACGTACCACATCGAGTTAAGCAGGTTGGCATGTTCCTCGTCGTGAAATCTATATTGAATGATCAAACCCGGGGCATACGGGACGCAACGCGACACGAAATCGATGAAAGAAATGAAATGGGAAATAAACGAAATATTTCGCGTTGAATATATTTCAATCTGTTCATATCATTTGTTTTGTGTATTTTTCGTTCGTCGTCAAGTAGCTCAATCAAGCGAAGCGTAAATCTCATCAGCACATTTGTGCAGATGAATGCAACATAACTTGTTGTGTTGTCAACATTTGTTCGTGCATTCATATGTCTGAATGTGTGTGAAATATAATTTCGTTTTAGTTTTAATCAGCTGCGTTTCCGATTTACATTTCGATTTTTTTTTCTCTCTCTAGTTTCAACAGTTTCTTTGTTCATTTGTTATACAATGTGAAACTGCCACAAAAATCATCCAGCAGAAAATTTCCTTCGTGCACATTTCATTGGGTCCGATTAATTTGCTAGTTTCCTATTTCCGCCGCACTCGATGATGGTTTTGAGTGCTGCTACATTTTCGAGCGTTTTATTTTGCAAGTCTTTTCATCGCTGTTCAATGTGAAGTGTTTGATTCGCGGTTGTGGGTGGTCGTCGTCGTTGTTGTTTTTATTGTTACTGTTTGCTGAATCGCGGGCATCTTTGTTTGTTGGTAACAAAGATGGCTCTTTAGCGATTGCATACACGTTTTGTATTTGGTGTGTGTGTGTGTGTATGTGTGTTTGGTGCTTTTACGATATAATACGTCGAACGCTTTGCGCGTTCATTTTCCAATCTGGGTGATGACGGAAAACTTGGTCGGTTTTCCAGTCGTGTCAAATGCGATGACATTATTCATTTTTTTTTTTGTTCTGTGTGTGTGTAGGAGTGGTTTGGTTTTGCTTGTTTGGTGATTGTGCTCGACAGGATTTTGAGAATAGAGTGACATTCTCAAATTTTTTGGTTTGTTTTTTTTTGCCTTGTGTTCGTAATATTATTTCTGATGCTACATATATGGTTGGTTCACGTTGCGAATGAGTAATATATATATATATATAGATTGGTGAAATGTGATAAATTGCAAGAAGACACACACGAGGAGCGAGAGATCATCACACACAGCAAAGGGAATTGAATACTTACCACCATGCCACAAGTTAACGTAATGCCTCGGCCGCAATATGTATTCGGAACTATATCTCCGTACCCAACACAAAGAAACGTGATCGCCGTCAGCCAAAAGGCATTCAGAATGTTGGCGAACTCTTCGTCATGATTACTTTGTTGTTTGTGTTTATTTAATTCATTTAATTTTTCAATGTTCATTTAGTTTTTTTTTTTTTAAATACAAATCACGCGCGATTTTTCAAACCGTATTTCATGTTCATGTTTTTTTGGCCAGTTTTTAAATTGAATTGCAGTTCGATTTATTTTTTTGTTTTTAATTTTTTTTTTTTTTGGTGAAGGACATCAAAATTCAACAACATTTAGTGGACGATGTGTGTATGTATAAAAATTTTTTGGTGACAACGGTAAGGATACATAAACGACATTTAGTTTATATCATCAAACGGTGTTGTTGTTTTTTTTTTTTTTAATTTGAAAAGTTTTTTTTTTGTTCATTGTTTCGTGTGTTTGTGTTCGATGTGTATAAAGGATAGACAATAAAACATTTATTTCGAATTGTAACGGTTTTTGTGTCGTTGGTGTCAACAAAGTTGTGGTTACACGGTACGCAAAAACACATTTTTATATTTGGTATACGTTTGCATTTGCAAATTGATCGTTTTGGCAAACACATGAGGAACAAACGGTGAGGAAAGAAAAGATAGAGAAAAACAACAATTATTCAAAATATATGGAAATAAAATATTTCAAAAATAAAACAAAAAAAATTAAATAAATAACAAATCGATAACAGAAAGGAGTTGACAGTTTCGAATTTCCATTGACAACGGTATCAAATCGTACTTTATGAAAATGTCATGAAAAAAGGATTAAAAAAATAAAACGAATGGCTGAAATCAGAGCAAATGATACGTGGTGGCTGATATGAATGATCGGCTGCTTGTCAGACAAATTTACATACTATCCATCAGATTCTCTCATGAATGAAATAGAGAGAGAGAGAGAGAAATCATGTCATGGTTCCTACACCTCTGTTGCGATGCTAATAAAACAAGACACACATTCCATAAAAACATTGTTTTTTGCTTGGTTTGTCGTGATTTCATTCAAAACGCACATTATAACCAAATCTTATCCTATCCATTAACAAAATTCATGAGTAATTAGCGGTGCAAATATAACTTAATACCGACAGCACATCTGTGAATAATAGACCTAAACCTGGTATATGTATATATAGAGATATATGCATTTGAGGTCAATTGGGTGGAAACATGTGGTGAATATGTTAATAAAACTTCCATTTTTGGTTCGGAAACAATATATATAATATAGATATATACACACACACATGAAAACGATACAACAGAACCAAACCCAATGCGTGATTCCCTCCTTACGAAATGATGATACCCAATTATTATTCACTTAGGTGCTTGCGCAAGTTGAGTTTGCAAAACTTTCAGTAATTTGTCCGTATTTGCTGCTCCGTTAAGTAGGTAATCAAAGTCAAAAGTCTAATTACCACACAATATTTCGCACTATCGCGAATAATTTCATCAAATTCTCTAAATACGTATTAAATGAACGAACGTGAGCGAAAACAAACAATAGGTAAAGAACAAAATAAAACAACAACTAAAACAACATAGGTAGAAAACAGCCGAACGCAAATCAAATCAAGATATAGCTGAGGTTTACTAAATTATGATCAGCGATATTTCTTCTTTTTTTTTTCTGTAAAAGCAACACGTGGTTTTTGCGGTGATTTGCGTGCAGTTTTCTTTATTGTTTTCTATGTGGATGTAGCTAAAGAGACGTTTCATTTGTTCAGTCAACGTTTGTTTTCTTGTTTTTTTTTTGCGTGAAAAACATAATTTACTTGATACTTTCGGTTTTTACGTATTCAATTGGTTGCGACACGTGAATTTGATGATTGAAATGCTTAAGTTGTGTGTCAAAAAAAGCAAAACTAATAAACAAGAATAATGATAAATTGCTGCGCACTGGTGAAGCGATGATTGATATTTAAATGCACTCACTAAACCAATTGACCAACAATGAACTTGACTTTTTGACGACCAACAACATTTCTGTTTCAAGGGTGGTGATGGTTACATTTGGTTCATTACTGCTCAATGATTATGAACTGTTTTCTAATTTCCTTTTGCTGAAAAAAAAAAATATTGCAATGAAATTGCTTTCTCTGCGTGAACAAAATCGAAAATATTTCGACATTTTGCAGTATGGTAGTAGTCCAATATATAGAGCATTTTGTAGTTGAATATGTGTTTGTGTGTGCGTGTGTGTTTTTCTTTATTGTCACTTTGAAATTTCGAATGAAACGCAAAACAAAATAGAATCGAAACAAATATCTAAACTGAAAATCAGGTGTTTGCAAAATAAATAGTAGTATACATTGTTTGATTTTGGTCTTGAATAAAATATAGCCTACATTTGTACAATTTCAAAGCTATGAGCTTTCTACAGTATAGTGGATTATTCATAACAAATCGATTTTCGTATGACTTTTTCTCTATCGCATCTATTCACATCTGTCTTTGTGTTTAGTGTTTGGTCTTGTTTTGAATCTAAACAATTTTGTGATAAGCGTTTATTGTTGTTTATACTCATCTTATTTTCTCAAAAGAATTATTAGCAGCTGTATACAGAAAGGCAAAAATAGATAGAAACCAATAGATTATAAACTTTATCTTCTCTAGCACAAGCAAAATCTAATGGAATAAACCACAACTATGTGGAATGAAGTAAGTGAGTAGTTTCAATCTCTCAAATGGGAAATATACACACAGTTTGAACGAGTCGTGATGAATCTCAATGCAAAGAATAGTGAGCAATTCAATTTACAATAATTGGTGGTAATTGGCTTATCCATTGAATGGATTGACTTTTATTGAACTCAAGAAAATGCATTTTAATCGATATTCTTTTCAGTTCAAACGCAAAGTACACTTCATCATAAATGGCATTTTCATCATTCATTTCGCCTCTCTTTTATGTGTGTGTGTGTGTGTGTGTGTGTGTGAGTATACCAGTTCATTCATTCAATTTTCCACTTTGGTGGTTTTGCCACTCTTCGCATTAAATGCATTTCATTTATGAAAATTGAACGTTAAATAGGAAAAAGTGATGAGAAACCTGTGAAAAGGCCTTATTGTGAGCCCCTTTTTTCTCGGTCTTTTGACATTTCAACACACATTTTAATGTACATATATGTGCAATGTGCATCATATGTAATGCATTCAAGTGTATATTTCACTAATTACGTTTGGGATGAAATGCATTTATTCGCAATTAAAAATTAATATCTTTAATGATAATGCCAAAAGTGAATTGTTTGCGCATCGTTTTTCTGCGTAATTCAATTTCTCGACAAGATTCATTTGAGTAATTTCTCATTTTCCATTCAGTTGAGTGAAAAGCCAATTAAAAACCATTTACCACGCCCAACAAAATTTATTTGAATGAAGTTTTCGAATATACGACGGGGTGGCGGTTCATCTTTTTTCAATTGTAAATTAATTAAACATTGGCATTAGAGGTGTCACCAATGTGCATAAAGTTACACAACCCTTTATAACCTTTTCATATTGCTCAAATGCTTGTTTTGCCATACGATACACAAGTTCAAACTAATTGAGAGAAAGTTTGTTCCTATATTTGGAATTATTTACAAATCTAATTAAAGCGGATAGCAGAGGAAGAGCGAGGAAGAAAGAGAAGAGAAGCGTTGAGAATGAAGAGATTTTACCCTAGAGAATAGAATATGGAACAAGTTGTGGATTTTACACAGAAAGAACTTTGTTTTCGATTTGTGGATAAATTGCTTGGTTTATTTGTGTTGTGTGTTTCTCATTTTGAATTATTTGCGAGCAAGAGATTCGCTTTCGTCTTT